AACACTCTGGAACCTCATCAAGAAACTCTGCACACCCATGAAACCTCCTTAAGTTCCCCTGGAAATTCCACAAGAAGCATTTGACACTGCTCCAAAAACCCAAACCCTTATCAAGGACCTGCAACACTTTTTAATAATGCCAGTAGTCTCTGTAAGAACCCTGAAACCTCCGTAAGAAGCCACGCAGCCTCCTGGAGAACCAGTGGATCCTCGTCAAGAACCTGTGAAGTCTTTTAATGGATCAAAGGAACCTGAAGAACCCTCAAACACCCAAACAGAAAACTGATACGAGAGTGTCAGAGAGCAGACTGAGGACTGAGTGTGTTTCCCTGCCTGGAGGAGGAGGAGGAGGAGGAGGAGGAGGAGGAGGAAGGGCAGGCTGGCTTGTTTTGTCTGAAACACAGGAAAGGGGCCGGGTTAACTTAAGCCAGACAGTGTGTGTGTGTGTGTGTGTGTGTGTGTGAGTGTGAGTGAGTGAGTGTGTGTGTGAGTGTGTGCAGACAGACGGGAATGTGTGCACGTCTAGAGTTTGTTCTTGGATCTCACCACAGAGTTTCTACACTGTAAAAAGTTCTCAGTAACTAGTTTCAGACCAATGATTCACCAAATCAGGTTGTACCATTAAAACTGGTGAAGTGTAAATCCGTTGCTAGGAAACTCTATAGCTCTATAGCACCATCCAATCAGGAGCAAACAGCAGTGTATAGGGGAAGACACAGCATCAAAAGTGAACATAACTTTCCAGACGTTACAGTTTCAGTGGCTCAAAAGAAAACTCTTTAGTTAATGTAGGTGTTAGTTTTGTTTCTATCTGCATACATGGAGAAGTGTGTGTGTTTCAGAGTTTGTTAAATAACAACCAGACCTGCCATCACACAGAGTCACTGCATGTTCTCACTGTCTGATCTCATTTGCTGGCTTTTTGTCTGAGTTTGTCAGATTGTTTCCCTTACAGTTTTTACCCGCCGTCTGTAGTGGGATTCTACGTCGTCATGTTTTAACTGCTTGTGCTGATTGTCTGCTTTTCACGTGTCCTACTTTGAATGATGCTGCCTTACCCCTCTAAAGTCCCCCTACATTTTGTGTGTTTTTTATGTGTTGTTTTAATGGCTAATAGAGTGGTTCAGGGATGAGTCCCAAAACCTGGAGGTGAGTTAGCATTTTAGCACTTCCGGTTCCCTTGTCTCAAAGTCAGTGGCTTTTTAAATTGTTTTATTTTTTAGGTTAGATGCCTGAAATAAGGTCTGCGTGCTTAAGAAACTTTTATGTTTTGTTCTATGTAGGGCTGGGCGATAAATCCTGAAAATTACATTAATACATTTTTTGGGTTAGGGTTATCTCCATACATGATATATATCTCTATATTTTAAAATCCCCTCAAAAGCACTTAATTAATGCTAGGACTGGGAGACAAAATCAAACATCACAACATTTCTGACCAAATATCCTCTCTGATGCTACAGAGTTGTAGGGGTGACTATTGTTGTTGTTTTTCAGAAAATGTTGACACAATGAGATTTTAGATTAATAATCATCAACAATGTGGATATAACGACTAAGTGGGTTAAGGCAAGGCTTTAAAACAAATAAAAAGTCTGATAAGTTGATAAATTGACATCACTTCACTCTATTTCAGCCTTTAAAATGAACAAAAAAATTATCCATATCACGATACAAAGATATACAGAATCTAAGAGGATACATAGTCAAATATCGATAACATTATGATATCTTCATATTGTCCAGCCTTAGTTCTGTGACATAAAATATGTCAGTAAATACCCCTCTTGAATTTTGAAGCTTTTGCGTCTTTTAAAAATGGCAGTTGTTAACAAGTGGCTAAATAATTCTACAGAACATCATCGTTGTTAGCGCTTTTTAGGAAGTATTTAATAGTTGTTAATATTAACAACTATTTCTATCAGTGATGCGGGGGTCAGGGTTTTTTAAACCCACGCTGACGAGGGTTGCAACATTATGAGATTTGACAATATGATAACCGTCTTAGAAAATATTGCGGTTTCATGGTATTACAGAATTTATATTATCATTATCTATATGACCCTTACAGGAATGAAAATGGCAGGGTTATTTTTGGTTGGACAAACATTTTATTACTATAATTGAAACTTAAAACCATTTTGTCAATGAAAGTTTGTGTAAAGAGTCTCCTCTCTGAAAATAACTTAAAATAAAAAGGAGATTCTCCGTCCAGTTGCATTTTTTTAAATATCTTAGATAGGCAAATGTACACAGTACGATAACCATCAACTTTTATATCATGGTATACCTTAAAACTGATACATCCCACCACCCATCCCCTTATGAGAGCAAATCTGCGTCGCCCAACCTGCAAACATATATGCATTAATCAATGACCCGAACCAAACCCACAAGTTGGAGCTGAAAGTTTCTTTTAGTGACCAACGCTAATACCAACATACTTTCTGTTGGCTGTATTGTCTGTCATATACAGTAAGTACCACAATATAAAATGTGATTTCTATTTATAAAAATACAAACATAGGAAGATAACAAGTACTCACCCATCTTTCAGGTGGTTACATCATTAGTATGATCTCAGACGATCAGCTTATAACCTACATGGTTTGTTTACATGCGCACACAGCTGACAGGTACAGTGGTTTATTTACATGATGTAACAGAAGTGTATATTTAACAGATTCTATGTGGACAGAGAAGCACCTGCCTGCTGTTAAGACACAGTGTTAGGCCTATATACTCTCATATGTCAGACTTTCACTGATTTTCCTTGTCAAAAACTGGATAATGGAAACCGGGAGCGCAGCAGCGCTGATGATGAAGCTGCTCGCTGTGTGAGACAGAAAGAGGGGAAGGTGGACTATTGCACAATGTTACAGTCTAAGTTATTAATAACTGTCCCAAAACGCTGCTTCATCACTTTATGACCAGCCCACCCAGAACCGGCAATATTTTCCAACAAGCTTACCTGACATTGATCACAAACAGATACCTTTATGACCAAATACAAACTTAAGTAGACGTTCAGTCGAGGTGCTTTGTGGCCATTAGCAGACACACACACAAGCCTGTGACGATATAGGTACAGTAACGAACACTTGAGTAACACTTCCACAGCAACTCAGCGATAATGTAGCTGGTCACGCTCTTGCTGTGTCGCTCTTAGTGTTAGTATGTATAGTAGTATGATTGGATGTTTGTTGGTGAAATGCACCCTGGGAGGCGTAGTTGACTTCTCTCCTTTGGTTTGTGTGTCCACAGGCTTCTTAAAGCTTCCACTCTTTTTATCAAAAAACACAAAGTTTTGTCTTCAGGATGATTTGTGTTAAAGCTGAGTGACTTGTTAAGACGATGTTATTTTTACAGTGTGTGTGTGTGTGTTTTGTCTGCAAACTGTTATCCCTGCCCTTCACCTGTGCACACAGAACACACTGATAGGCTGCTGCACTGTGTGTGTGTGTGTGTGTGTGTGTGTGTGTGTGTGTGTGTGTCTTCACTCTGAAACCTTCAGACTCTTGACACACCTGTAGAAATGATCTAATGAGGCGAGTCTGTCTCACCTGTTTACAAATCAACTTGTCTGAGACTTTGTTTTGTTTGTTGTTTTAGTTTTTTTTTTTGTTTTATTCAGTTTTGATTGAAACATCTTGAACAATTAGAGTTCAGCTTTATTAAACCAAACAGAACAACAGTACGTCTCAGATGAAGGTTGTTCATGACGTGGTTCCTTCCTGTATTTCAGGGTGCTCTCAGCCCTAGAGTCGTCTCCTTTGGTCTGAATCAGGGACTAATTTTGTTTCAAAGTTGTATAATTGCCTAGAGTTGGTTCGTGTTCTTACAGCAGCATTTACAAGCGGACCAGATAAAATGCCTTTTGTGAGAAAGCTGCTCTTGCAGACAGCCCGTCACTCAAAATGACCATGCCCTTAAATATTAATAATTTTAACGAATAACGAATGAGTTATACAAAAATTCAACCCTGTACACTTGTCATAAATGTTAAAATTAGCTATGGAGACCAAAACTGTTTTTGTAACAGGCTCTAAACATGTTTATATCTGCTGTAAAGTTGAACTTTTTAACATGAGGGTCTATGTGGATTGACTTGCTTTTGGAGCCAGCCTCTAGCGGCCATTTGAGGAACTGCAGTTTTTGGCACTACTGCGTTGACTTCATTTTTCAGCCTTAGAGGCTGCTGCTTGGTTTCTACAAATCACAGATATGTTACATTTGCAGACCTGCCTGAAAACAAAATGCTGACTCATGTTTTTAATGTCTTCCTAAAACACATGAAAGATAATCACGAGTCACTTTATTTTACATGAGTTGTCTCTGTTGCTTAAATCTATCTGGTTATTCTGTCTGATGTTCTCTGTTTGATCAGATTTCATATTTGATGATACTGATAGCTGATAGTTTTGAGCTCCATAAATAAAAATTATATTATAGTTTTATTATGTGTTTCCTTATTGATCCTCACTACAGCTCATAAACTAATTTATTTATTAATTTGTGTCCGGATGAATAATTTGGAGAAATATTATTATTTTTAAATTCTTGTAATTGCTGCTCTTTGTGTTTTTGTACAGTAGTTAGAATGTGTTTAAAACTCGTCCTTTGCTTTTATGTTAAAGTCAGAAAAAATCAAAAATAAAAGATAAATAAAACTAAACTTGTTCAAAATAAACACAGATGATCTTCTTACAGTGTGCTGAGGTCTGTTTGTCTCACACACACACACACACACACACACACACACAAGCAGGCGGGAGGTCAGACATGATGTCATGGTCGTGGTTTGGTGTGACGGGTTAACCCTGCATCACCTGGTACACACACACACACACACACACACACACAGTGTTTCCATGGTAACCCCTGCTCACTGTGACTCAGTTTGTTCTCACAGAGTTTATTTAAATTTCCATGAAAGATGTTTCCTGTCTGTCTGACTGTCTGTCTGTCTGTCTGTCTGTCTCTCACCTGCCTGTCTGCAGGTGGCGGGGAGGAAAGGTTTCCCTCACGTGATCTACGCCCGTCTGTGGCGTTGGCCCGACCTCCATAAGAATGAGCTGAAACATGTGAAGTTCTGTCAGTACGCCTTCGACCTGAAGTACGACAGCGTGTGTGTGAACCCCTACCACTATGAGAGGGTGGCGTCCCCCGCCACCACAGGTACGCACGCTCAAGCTGTCAGTCCTCCTGTGTCATCCCTTTTGAGTTTCATTCCTTATTACTTTTAATATTCAAATTTTAACGCTCCAATTTATATTTTTACTTACATATATTTATATGTACTATGTCCCAAAACTCTGTACACATGGGCATATGTGTGCACTGCTACTGTCAGCATGTGGCTGTTATACTTTCTGTCCACTAGAGGGCAATCAAACATCAACAGGAAACATGAGGACATACCAACAGGTGATCAACAGGCTCAGGTATAAATATAAGTAATTAATAGTAGTAAAATAGTGATAAAAATAGATAAATAAATGCCTCCATGCCACGTACAATCTACTAACAGGCAGGTGTGGAGACGTGCTGCTCAATATTATGAGAATAAGCAAAACATGTTTAAAGATGTTCCAACTCCAACGCCTGAACTTGACAACATATTTATTAAAAAAAAGAATAAATTCACACAGTCGTTTTAGCGTTGGATTAGCTTTTTGATTTAAACTAACTATGAAAATTTGTTCCACTAATCATTATACGTTAATATTGATCATTAATATTCATGACGTCTGTTCTGTTGTCTGATTCGTGTCTCGCTCCTCGTCCCGCCCCCTGTCTTCCTGCAGGTCCTCAGTCTCTGATAAAGGAGGAGTTCATGCAGGACTGTCTTCAGATCGACCTGCCCCCCCACACTGACCCCTACAGCCAGCCCCGCCCTGTCAGCATGTATCCCAGCATGCCCCTCTCCCCTCCAGGTCAGACCTTCAATCTGATGTTTTTCATGTCACATTTAGATGAAACTCCGTGTGTGTGTTGACGTCCTGCTTTCTGTCTTGCAGGCAGCAGCTCCATGACGGCTGCAGCTCTGTCAGCTGTCGGCTGTGGGAGGAGCGGAGGGGGAGTCGGGGGTGTGTGCAGCGAGGGCCCCGGCCTCCTTCAGATAGCCCCACCTCCGAACCACGGGGGCCACGCCTCCCCCCCTCACCCAAACCCTCCTCACACCCCTCAGCCTTCTCACCCCCCTCACCCTTCTCACCCCTCCACCCCCACCTCTCCACAACAGCCCGACTACAGCAGCCCCCCCAAAACTGGTACCGTACCTCTGTACACACCTGAGTAGGATGAGAAATAGTTGTAGTAGTAGACATTATAAAAATAGTGGTAGTAGCAATATTACTAATAGTAGAAATAGTTTTAGTATCCGTAGCAAACATAGCAGTAGTAATATTTGTAGCTGTAGTAATAAAAACAGCCACATCAGTAGAAGCTCTGGCAGCAGAGTGCAGAACATATAATTATCGTAGTAGCAGCAGTACCTGTAGTAGTACCACAGTAACAGTAGTGATATGAGACAGATACTAATCTATGTCCTGTGTGTCTCTGCAGCCACCTGGCCAGGTAACAGCCCTGCCCCCTACAGCCCTGCAGGACCACCACAGAGTGGGCGGGGCCACCAGCAGCCTCCATTACATCATCACCACGCCCCCAACACTCACTTCTGTATGGCACTGTGTGAAGTATCCCAGTAAAGTAATACAGTAGTGGTATTTTACTGTAGTACTGAGTCTAAGTGTTTGTTCCTGCAGGGTCACAGCATCACAGCACTGCTCCGTATCCACAGCCAGTGTCCAACCATCCAGGTACCACCTCTTTCCAAACATATTAGCACGTTACAAAACTGTCTACACTTTCTAAATATGTCCTCACTTTTAAAAAATATCCTGTCTTTAAAAAGTGTCCTCACCTTCTAAACTTTTTCAGAAATGTACCTACTTAGCAAAACTATTTCCGCTTTCCGAAAATGTCCTTACACTTTTCAAACCTTTGTAAAATGTCCTCACTCTCCGAAAATATTCTCATTTTAAGGACAAAAGAAATTTAAAAAAAAACAAGTTAAAATATTTAAAAAATATCTGTAACTATTAACAAACATGTCCTTTATTTCAAAACTTTCCAGACATGTCTTTAACTTTCTAAAATGTCCTCACTTTACAAAAATGTCCTCATTTGACAAACTGTCCTCTCAGGTCCAGAGTTCTGGTGCTCCATCTCGTACTTTGAGTTGGACATCCAGGTCGGGGAGATGTTTAAGGTCCAATCCAGCTGTCCTCTGGTGACAGTGGACGGTTATGTGGACCCTTCAGGAGGAGACCGTTTCTGTTTGGGACAGCTGAGTAACGTCCACCGCACCGCCTCCAGCCACCGAGCCAGGTGAAAAGTCTGACCAGTGTGACCAGTGACAGTACTGGTGTGATGTCAGTGACTTACAGTGATGTTCTTCCTCTGCGCGTTGTTTCTCTGCAGGCTCCACATCGGTCGGGGGGTTCAGCTGGAGTGTCGGGGGGAGGGAGACATCTGGATGCGTTGCCTAAGTGACCACTCGGTGTTCGTCCAGAGTTTGTACTTGGACCGTGAGGCGGGCCGAGCGCCAGGAGATGGAGTCCACAAGATCTACCCTGGAGCTTACATCAAGGTGAGGGTGGTCTGACTGGTCTGAGGATGTAGACTGTGGGTATACTGTAGGTCTGCCACTGGGCGGCTATCTCAGCCAGCGTTCTCCTCCCCTTCTGCTATCTGTATGCTACCGTTTTGCAGGAGCACTGTTGATACATCCTGGGCTTCGCGCAGCTCAAGATGATTGTGATTGATTTAGAGAAATACAAAAAACCCAGAGTGTTTTTCCCTTATAGCAGGATGATAGTGGCTTCTAGACCTTTCCCTAGTGCTGTTAGAGTGCTGCGGAGATACATCTGGTTCTGTAAGACTAAAAGCCAGAACGAACTGGCAGGGAACGCCACGCATCAAAAATATGCCCTCATTATTTTCAGTGTACAAACCCACACAAACCCGTCAACTAGACGTGACGGCGCTCCTGGATGCGACACCCCGCAGCACTTCATACCACTCTCCTGTTTCTAGCCTGGCTGCCTGTGGTAATAAATGCATTTTTCCCCCACTCACTCGCTGCTTGTACATATCAGCTTCCGTAGCAGCTCTTTTTCTCTGCTCCTATGGCAGCTCGACTCCTCTCCTCACAATGGGTGCATAAAGAGAACTCTGTGGCTGTCTGGTGTGTGACAAAAAATGAATGACGAGAGACTCGTTGTTGAGGTTGAGAAATATCCCGAGCTAAACGACCCACAATCCCGTCATTATGGAGAGAGTGGCCAAAAAGATATAGCCTGGTGAGTCATAGCTCTGGAGATCAGCTCTTCAGGTGTCCACAGATGATTTGGGGGGGGTTATTGCTGTGTGTGTGTGTGGAGGGCGGGTGTTAGTGGGTTCAACAACGAATCGCATTGCTGATTTATCACATCACATGATCTGGATATTGTAATGTGGACCCAGAATAGACCCTGCACATATAAAGTTTGGTGTAGCCATAGCAACTCCCTTTATAAACAACAAGCCTGCCAATACAAGCAAGTGCTGATTGTTGGTTAGCTTCCTACCTTTCGTTTCTAACCGAGGGGGGTCATCAACACAACGTGAACTAGGAACTGGCTCGTTCACTCTAAAGAGCCGGTTCACTTGTTCACTTCAAAGAGCCGGTTCAAAGACTCGGCTCGTTCGCGAACGTCACATCACTAACGCAGACAGCTCTTTGCTCTTCTTTTGAGACTACAGACTGAAAAGACGTCACTACATCGGTCTTTTAACCAGTATATTTTGTGGCATTTTGTCTATAGAGGACAAATAATGGCAGGTATCTATCTCCATCTACCTTTGCTCTTTCCTACTTTTCTATCCATCAATTCTTTAAATGCATAAATAAACAGCTGAATGTTAAAATAAACATGGAAACAAATAAATCAATCCATTAATAAATAAGTAAAAGGTGGTAATTGAACAGGACAGTGTAGCCAGCAGATATCCAGGCCAAGACACCAGTCATCTGGGTGAGAACCCCAGGTGTGGACAAGAGGGGGAAGTGCAACAAAGCCTGGAAGTCAGCCACAAATCTCTGCAGCCTCTCAATCAGCTTCTCAATTAGCCAAAACTATCACTGCTGATCTGCTGCAGTAGTTTCAGCTCCTGGTCTGTTTTCTTCTCAGTATTATTTTAGCAATTGCAGAGACAGACAGAGACAGAAGCTCGATGTGTGTGATTACAAAAGAGCAGATGAACAGAATTGTTTTGGAGTGTACATTTTTGTTATAACCGAGAAATTAAAGTACCCAAAAACCGGTACCGTTGAGTACCAGTGCCGAATGCCAGGTACTATGAACAGATATCTGCATATAAATGCGTAAGAGGTAATTCATCATCAGTCAATAGCTAATAGGTTCCACCTCTCTACACTGAATGTTTACCTGCCATTCAAACATGATTCACAGGGAGGTTCTGCAGCATATTTTTTTCTGTGATTTCTAAGTGGATTAATGGACGTTTATTCTGGATGGACGTCAGAGATAATGATATTCTCGGCATGTGTGAGTCACACTGAGTGATATCAGTATGTGTCTCATGTCTGTGTTCATGTTTCATTGAGTTATAAAGAAGAGAAGGAGGGAGAGTTTGTCTTTAACTGCATCAGTCTGTCTCTCAGTGTTTTAAAGGATCTTAATCTCCTCCCTGATCTGTGAGTCTCTGCTGCAGCTCCACCTGCTGACCAACTTCTATAACTGACTTCCTGTTGATTTACACCTGTCCCTCTCACCTCACACAGTGTCTCTTCCTCACCTCTCACAGTCTGTCACCTGCTTCACACTGAGTGTTGATAAGAAGGCAGATCTGAACAGTTACAAAAATAAAGACCTTTGAAAAAGACTTTTTTGAAGAACCTGAAGACTTGTGCTTCATCTACTCTCTCACCTGTCTGTCTTTCTCTCCCCTGTCTGTCTGTCTCTCCAGGTGTTTGACCTGAGGCAGTGTCACAGACAGATGCAGCAGCAGGCGGCAGCAGCTCAGGCAGCAGTAGCGACTCAGGCAGCAGCGGTTGCCGGTGCGATACCTGGTCCAAACAATGTGGGGGGGATCGCCCCCGCTGTCAGTGAGTATGACCTCCTCTTTTTCTCTGCTGTGTGTCCGTCTGGAGCAGGGAACAGCGCCGCCTGCTGGATGCTTCAGAGACACTTTACATTAAAAAAAGATACCTGAGTGTGATGGTCACTGTGACCTTGCGTCCATCTCATGCTTGTGAGTGCAATATCTCAAGAAGGCCTTGAGGGAATTTCCTTTGGCACAAACACCCACCTGGGCTTAACGATGAACTGATTAGAATCTGGTGGTTGAAGGTCAAAGGTCAAGATCACTGTGACCTCATAAAACATGTTTTGGGATGAAATGATGAAGTGATGATACTATATATCCAAAACCGTGAGGCAGTAATTCTGGTGTTGGTATTATTTTAACTGCCTGATTTTTTTATGTACTCTTGAAATGTTTTAACCAGTGTCAAACATGGGGCACTAAAATTTAATACAAAGTAATAATACTAAATAAAATGTGTTATTATTATTATTTTTACAGTTTGATGTTACAGGTCTTGAATGAATGATGGACCGATTTGTTTCCCTCCTGCATTGTTGTTGTTGATGTTGTTGTGTCTCAGGTGTGACTTCCTGTCTCCCTCCAGGTGTGTGCTCGGCAGCAGCAGGTCTGGGCGTGGACGACCTGCGCAGGTTGTGTATCATTCGTCTGAGCTTCGTTAAAGGTTGGGGGTGCGATTACCCGCGTCAGAGCATCAAGGACACCCCCTGCTGGCTGGAGGTGCACCTGCACCGAGCGCTGCAGCTGCTCGACCAGGTGCTGCACACACTGCCGCCACGAGAGCACACACTCTGACACACTGCAGCAGGTGTGTGTGTTTAATCTGTCAGCTGCAGGTGGGCGGGGTTTGGCTCACAGGACAGCCAATCACAGCGGAGGATTCATCTGCAACGTGTTCAGAAGACGTCACCCGGACCTTCTGTTACGGACAACACACCTGTCAGGAGTCCTAAGCTCCGCCCACCTTGTCTACACAGGTGAACACAGACACGCCACAGCCTATTGGTCAGTTCAGAAAGGCTTCAGACAATCAGACAATTACAATATCACATCCCTCCTGTCAGTCAGATGAGTTTCCATGGATACGGTGGCACATTAAAGGGTCAGTTCACATTTCGGAGGTGCCTCCTCTTTAAAGATCTGAAGAACTCGTTCATTAAAAGAGATTTTTCTGCTTTATTTCAACACTTCTGGACAAAATAAATTAAATGATAGTTAGCTTCTGTTTGACCGTTTGCTTGTTTTTGAAGTGGCTCTTACTGTTAGCTTAACCGAACCATAACACCCGCCCCTCCTCAGTACCTGCGGCTTCAAGTTCAGCTTCTTTTACCAAAAAAATGTAAACGTAAATATGTAAATTACATTTCCTGCATCGTTATCAATAAAGCTGCAGGTTATTTTCATGATAAATCAAATAATTGTTTGGTCTGAAAAAAAGTCATCACATGATTCATTCTGGTCCTGTTCTGCATCGTCTTTGACTATTTAGTTCAAATGATATTTGTGCCAAAAATATAAAAAGGCGGAGACAGCGTCAGACCCATAGACTGTATTTAAAGATGGACGACATGACTGCTCCCAAAAAGTGAAAGCCGAAACATCTTGATTGCCCCCTGGTGGCTGGCTGTAGTATAGGTCTTAAAGCCCAAAGGGACCAAACTGAAACATCAAAGATGTTCTCTGTTGTTTTAGGTAGCTCTTATCACACTGGTGTTCAAGTGTTTGTTTTTCTGAGAACTTAAATTGTAACTATTTATTTGATACTATATCAATCAATCAATCAATCAATCAATTTTATTTATAAAGCCCAATATCACAAATCACAATTTGCCTCACAGGGCTTTACAGCATATGACATTTAAATATAGAGATATTTAAATATTATAGGACAATAATTGTGTCAACAATTCACAGTAGGAAATGTTACACAGTATAAATGTTAAGGATATGTGCGCATATATATATATATATATATATATATGTATATACACACACATATGGCTCCACATGACATCACCAGAGCAAGATGGCAGCGGCAGGGATATTTAGGCTTCATTTTTGTACATGGAGTGAAATGGAGACATGTTATGTCCATATTTATATACAGTCATTGGTTGGGCCAAACCAGTTTAGTGAGGACCTAAAACTGACCCTGGAGCAATGAGGGCACACGTGCCCACGTCCACAGAAAAAGTTTTAAACCTTTGCAGTTCATTCTTTATTTCTCAACTTCAACAACAAACAGTTTGAGTGGCTGCTTAGCGTTTTAATACTCACTGGGTTTGAGGGCTACTTGACGACCTCCTTCACTTCCTGTCATCTGTTGGTGATAAAAGCAAAAAATGACCCAAGAATATTTATAAAAAGAAGAGAAGAAGGAATAAAATGAAATAAAAGAAGATAAAAGTGGAGATATTTATGTTTCGCCATCCAGCTGATTCATTCTGTCCTCAGTTCTGTTTCCTCTTCCACCTGCTTTTGGTGAAAAAACACCAGAGGTATTGTTTGCTCACGGCCCGTGGGACCAGTTCATCATCTGCACTGTTCCAGTTTTGGTGCAACTCGATTTTTACACAAACCCAAATCTCTCCTTCACATTGTTTACTCTTTATGTCCATGTCTGGCTGTTCTCTCTGACCTGTGGAGTTCCTCAGGGGTCGATCCTGGTCCCATTTTATTTTCCCTTTCAACACTTCGTTCAGGACACACCGTCCATCAGTCTGTCTCTTATCATTACTTCAGCTTCATGTATTATTAACACCAGGTGAGATCAGTGCCTGGATGTGTTTTCTGGAGTGTTTGTCTCACCTGCAGCTAGGACTGGGCAATACGGAGAAAATCAAATATCATGTAATTTTTTACCAAATACCTAAATATCAATATTGTGATGACAATGTAGGGTTGACTATTGGTGCTTCAGAATATTTTTACACAATATTTTTCATAAATAATCATTATTTATGTGATTCTATTTACTAAGAGGCTAAAGACAAATAACAGCACAGCCAGAACAGTCTGGTAAATTCTATTCAAAATTTTAAAAGTCGCCTTTAAAACCAAGAAAAGGCACTTACATTATTATGATATACACAATCTTAAACAATACTGCATCTCACATCACAATATCCATATAGTATAGATAAATTGCCCAGGCCTACCTGCAGCATGATTTAAAATAGTTTCTGTAGTTTGGTTGAACTGACCCATAAACAACTGGAAAACTTAAAAAAAAAAAAAAAAACTATCTGCCAAAAATCAGCTGTTCCATTTTCCACAGAGTGACATCATCTTTCTGTTTGGTTCAAAGTCTTTAATGATTATTTATTTTTATTGATTATCAACCAAAGATTCACTTCCTGCTCTCGATGACATCACATCCAGTTTACTCAGTCAGATTATTTATTCTGTCTTTATTTTTTTTTCTCTCTTTTTTTATCATACATACAGGCTTTTATACTGAAAGGGTCTATAACTGTAACATCTGCTGTTTATTCAAAATAAATTTTTTCTGATTAAAAAAAAAATCACCTGATTCTTCTGTGTCTTAACTTTTTCCTGTTTTAAGAAACACAGTCGGCACTTTGCTCAAAGGCACTGCGGCTGTTTAACTGCTATAAAGTTGGGCATTTTAAGGTGGAGGTCAGTTGGGATTGATTGTTTTGCAGCAGCAGCCTCAAGTGGCCAAACAGCCTCGCAGAAACACTGATTTGTAACATGAAACTATTTTATTCAGTGTTTTTACTGGTTTAAATCACGTGGTACATTTGTTTTAGAGAGGAAGAGACCTCTGTGGATAATTTGGCTCATGTTAAAAACCTCCTGAACAATGAACACTGAAGGAATTCTAACCAGGAGAAGCGTCACTGCACAGGTGGTATTACATGTTGTGGAAATGTTGTATAAATGTTTGAGTATGTAGCCTATGTTTAGGTTTCTATAGGTGGCGTTCCTTCATGTGTTGGTTTAGCTAACATTTTTATATATATATATAAATAATAACATATAAATTTGAATTACTACTTGTACTTCAAGATGTTAACTTGCTATGGAATATTACATTAGCTATGTTTCCATCCAAAAGTGATTCGAATCATTGGGAAATGTGCATTAAAAGAAATACGAATCCTGTGTGTTTCCATTAAATATACGGACTTTGGTGAAAACTACGAGCTCTCGCGAGTTTTCCGCAGAACCGGAAACAAAACAAGTCTCACATTATTCTTCTTCTACGTTTTCTGGCGGTTGGCAACCAGCTTGTAAATGCATTACGGCCTTCCCAACCTGGAGTGTGGATATCACCATGCTAAAGTGAACTTATTTTAGTTTGTGCGAATCAGGGGATTTTAATTTTAATTTTGGCGTTTCCATCACAATTTTCCGACTGCGATACTTCTAGATGCACATCTAAACAGGCTGATGGAAACATGGCTACTGTCGTATTTTATTTTACACTGTAGTATTTGTACTACAGTGACTTCAGTAGTCATGTTTCCATCAGCCTGTTTAGATGCACATCTAGAAGTATTAGTATTTCTGTTTATACTTTAGTAAGACTTTTACTTGACCGAATAGCAGTAGGTCAACATGCTACAAAAAAGGTATGGAGATAAATATATATTATGAAATAAATGTTATGAGTTATGAAATAAAAATCCCCTGAGATCACTAAAACTATTTTTCAAAAAAAAAAAACTATTTACTGAACCATAGTAACTCATTTATACATTTATATTTACATTAATTTATATTTTTTGCATCGTTTATTTATGCCAGGACTTATTTCATAGTCTTATTACCAATGTGTGTATTTATTTATTGATTATTTATTTATTTATTAAACATTCCATAAACTTGAAGGTTTCAGTAAAATATGGCGCCATTAAAGACAAAGAGTGGGTGTATGTAAAGTTTAAATGTTTCAGGTTCGCCGCCTCATTGGTTACTATGAAGTAACGCCTTTGCAATTCCAACCAATCGGAGAGAAGAGTTTGGTATAATGAGCTGCTGGGGGAGGGGCTCAGTGAGTGTATCATGATCTGACCAATAGGAGGCCACCATCTAACATATACATTCATATTCATTGTGATGGGGGCGTGGTCTAACTGTGGAGGTCGGGCGCGAGCGAACATGGAGGTTTAGTTATCGGCTGATAGTGAAGGAAGGCGCCGCAGTGACCAAACCGTGTTTTATTTTCAGTTTTCCTTTGTTACATTAGTTTTTGTGGTCTGTGTTCGGCCTCCAGCATGGAGATGAAGAAGAGGGTCATTCTGGAGCTGAGGAAAAGAAACCCAGCGGAGGTGTGTAACTACAACACTTTAATTTATTTATTTTTCCAGAAGGAACCGGTGGAGGAGGCAGACGGGATCCAAATGACGACGCTGAAAACGTTCAGCGGGAGCGGGCGTCGAGTTTTCTCCCGACATTTTGACCCAGAAAAACAACTTCACCGCAGTTCCAACATGGATGAAACTCCCTCAGCTCCTCCAGCAGCAGCCAGGGGAGTTTCATCCATGTTGGAGGGCAGCTAACACACGAGCTAACAGGCTAACCTGACGGAGCGCCCAGCCCTCGCTATAGAGCGGTGGTCGGGATGAGTTGGCGGCGGAGGGTCGGCGCTTATTCTGGGTAGTAAGGAAAAAAAAATACGCCTTTTGCATGTTTATTTGGTTTGCGTTACATTTATTTACACCCTCCTGTTTCACTGCGCGGCCGAGCTGGCTACCATTTTAACCTTCAGTGTTAAATAGGATGCTTGTAATCTGATGGCGCGTCCAACCAAACTCCATTCTGAATTCTCTAAATTATAAGTTTTACTTGGTGGTACGCCACATTTCTCTTCTAACCCAGCATGATTTAAATATTTTAAACGGTCCTTCAGACCCTGTTGATCACTTCGGCTATCACATAATCTAACAACAATCCTCCATTTCGATCAGAGCCTAAACTTTTAGGACTGGTTGTAATACGATGGCGCGTCCAACCAGGCTCCATTCTTAAATCCACAAATCATACATTTAATTAATTATATGCCAAAGTGCTTCTCTGCCCCCGGGTGATTTAAATCTTTTTACACGTCGTCAGGTCCTGTTGGTCATTTCGGCTCACATTTGATCCAACAACAGTTCTTCATTTCACTCAGAAACTAAACTTTCAGGACCTGTTCGCGCTGCTGTTCCCGCCCACTCTGGTGTGTTTTGGTGGTAAAGATCGTAGCTGTGCGTAACGATGCGTGTCTGATATACCTCAACAAATCAGGGATGTAGCGGAAATGATTAAGATCGTGCTAAAAGCTTTTTTTGTCATGAAGGGAGTGTGGCACACTGTTGTGCTCATACATGGTTAAAGTAGAATTCACGTTTTCACTGCAGCAGTTTGGTTAACAAATCGAAACTGATTTTTAGCGTTTCCCACCTTTAACCTAGTTTGCGTGTCTCAAAACGACCGATATTAAACGAGTCTTTTCAGTCGGTGGTCGTAAACCGTGAAGGGTCGTGGTGTCGTAACAGCACATGCTCATCGGTCGGTGGAGAAATAAACGTGTGCGCACACACACACACACACACACACACACACGCGCGCGCACAGCAGCTGTGCGTGTGTGTCTCTGTCACTCATCCACGCCTATTGTTCACCAGAGAGTTTTTGTTCGTTGAGATAAATCACTCCATAATGTGCTGGGACGTTGAACCTGCATGTGTGGTGTTATTTCTCCTGGTCATAAAAACGTTTTTAACCCCCAGATATGATCTACATTAACAATCATTCACTAGAATTTTTTTTTTTTACGTGGAGTTATTTAAGTGGATAAAGTCGTCTGGATGAACAAAAATGAAGCCTCTCCTATATTATATCATTATATTTCTATATTATATATTAGTGTTTAACATTTTAATGATAATATTTATAATGCATTTTATTTATAGGCACCTTTCAAAGCACCCGGAGACACTTTACAAGATGCAGTGGGGATTACAAACAACCAGGAATGTGTCCTTAGATCATAAAATCAAATAATAATCAGTAATGCGCAATAAACGCTAATGAAAGTGTCCTGTGAGTGTCTCTGCTAGATGAAGATGAAGACGTGGTCACACGATATCTTGATATTGTTGTGGTAAACAGGTGGTGGAGCTGGTGGTGGATAACTGTCGCTCCAGTGACGGAGAGGTTGAAGGTTTGACAGACGAGTACACGGAGCTGGAGATCCTCAGCATGGTGAACGTCGGCATCTCTTCGCTCTCCAAACTGCCGTCACTGCCCAAACTACGCAAGGTCAGCCTCACACTTCCAGTGCCCACAATGCAACACAGTTTGGTTCAGACTTTTACTAGTGTTTTCTGTCTCAGTGAATGTTTTGCTGTTGTTCCTTCCTCTTGTATGTTTCATTTTATGCTGTATTTTCACATTGCATCATGGTGATATTCATGCAGGTGTGTGTTTCTGTGTGTTTCAGCTGGAGGTGAGCGATAACACCATCTCAGGAGGTCTGGACACACTGGCAGAGAAATGTCCCAATCTGACGTACCTGAACCTGAGTGGGAACAAGATTAAAGAGCTGAGCACCATCGAGACACTGGTGAGTTTCTTCATCGCAATGAGCTGAACCTCAGATAAACCCCCTCAGGTGAGACGCCTGTAGGTAGGGATGGGAATCAAGAGCAGGTCTCAAAGTGTCCCATCCACCAGAGTTACCTCCAGAGCTTATCAGTCCTTTTATCGATCCCGGCATGTTTCTGATGTCAGACTCATGCGGCTACTCTGTTGAAAACTTGCGACAAGAAGGAGTCATGGTGGAGCATATGGAACGGTCTACAGTGTGGCTTCATTTCACAAAGAAAGATGATGACAGTGCTGCTTGTAATATCTGTAAATAAAAATGCAAAAACACACTTGCATACTTTCAAGATCAGGCTCAACCACCAAGCAGTGATATAACTGAAACCTTAAAGCCACACAAAGAAAATGTTGGCAAACCAGAAGGGTGAAAAAAGCAAGTGAGCTCTGTAGTGCATTGTAACGCTTCTCTTCCTCAGTGTAGTGACAGTTACTGTACATGTATGTGTCAAAAGTCCTGTTAGTAGTTTTAAAGTCAGGACTATTTTAGTCACACCTGCCATTGCACAGGATGTCGCCACACAAAGGAGGTGACTGCACACTCTCATGTCTCAAGCCAAAAACTGTTCGCCCTGACGACACTGAAAACAGTTTGTGAAGACCTTCACCTTGGAGGGAGTTTTACAAAAAGTCCTTTTTAAGTAAACATTTCATCCTCCTCTTCCTCTTCATCACATGGTAAGCTGACTCTCTCTGTGCTCTATTGTGTTCTTTAGCAGAATCTAAAGAACCTTAAGAGTCTGGATCTGTACAGCTGTGAAGTGTCCACACTGGACGACTACAGAGATAGCGTCTTCGAGCTGCTGCCTCAGCTCACCTATCTGGACGGATATGACCAGGAGGACAACGAGGTGCCCGACTCAGAGGCCGAAAACGGTGAGACTCAGACCCACGGCACATTCAACTAAATGTCTTCTGTGTGAGGACGCCATCATGTTATAGACTGTCACTGCAGAGTAACATTAATTTTTTTCCCTCTGGATAATTACATTATCATATTAATAGTTCGGCAAATAAATGAAGTGTGGTGTTTATAATTTAAAGTTCTTAGCATGACATCACACCGAACTGAACTGAGCCGTACTGTGGATGAGGCTCAACAGGTCAGGACGCTGGGAAGTGCACAACTTTCAGTCCTGACACAAGCATGCAGCAACAAGAGAAAAATCCAGTTAGTGAAACAAAAAATAAGATGAATCATGGTGCTAGGAGCTGAAGTGAGAGCTGCCAGTGCACCCCAGAAAAGTCCCATAACTGCTTTTTAAATGACAGACCTTTGCAATATCCACCTGTCCTCTGGTGCACTATGGACGGTCGACAAATGTGCAGCTCCTCTGTGCAGCAACTTGCCTCTAAAACAAACAATAACGGCAGCAGGTAAATATGGCGAGTCGGTGTGTTTTGCTATTTTTAGTTTCATTTGTGTGAGATGCAGTAAATCATCAAAATATGAGCCGTATTGCTGTTTGACAAATTACTATAGCTGCAGTCTGATTGCCATGGTAGTGAATTATGTCCAACTAATAACCACACTCCCATCCTCTGAGAAAGAACGTTAGCCGTTAAACAGGAAGTAACACCTGCTGGAGGGTTGTGTTGGATGGAGCAAAAGGAGCTGATCAGTGGGCACAGCTCCAGAGAGAGTAGCTCCATTCTGCTGTGGGACTGTCTGAGTGTACTGCTCTTCATTCTAACATTTATTTTTTAGAAATGCAGCAGCAGATGCTCCAGCACTGCAGACAGAATGTCAACTGTTTCACATGCATACACATGAATACAAAAAAACAGCATTTAACCTCAAACACTACAAATCACAACAGACATTATAAAATGACACATTACTCATTATGTATTTCATTCAGTGTTTGACTCAGGCACACTGAAGACTACTTAGAAGCCACACTCTGATTTAATAAGTTGACAGAGCCCAACCTGTTCAGTCGAGCCTGTGGGACTCTAACTCTTCTGTGTGATGGCAAAAGCTGATATTCTTTAAATAACGTGAGAGGGGTCAGACGTAATGCTACCAGCCAGGGACTGAGTGTGAGTCCGTGGCTGAACCCAAATGTTCGGGCTTCACCACACTTGCAGACTTTTGGGCGTGTTCCAGGGAAGTCTGCACGTGTGTGGGGCTGTCCAAGTCCACAATTCATCCAGTCCACGAGGGGCCTAAAGCAGACATTCTGCAGTCTTCAGCAGACTTCACTGATTTAATTGCCCACAATTTATTGCAGTACAGACATGATGTGGTATTTTTTTTTTTTAATAGACAACTAAAAAGCAAAATTTATGTGTATATAAAACAGTTACCGTAGCCTATTAAAACTTTGCTTGAATTGTGTAGGCCAGAAATAATATTCAACAATATCAAGATACAGAAATTTGTAGAAATATAGGCTATTGTAATGCATTTTATTATTATTATACAGGTGCGCGCTATAACGCAAAATATATGGGCTTGAAAAGTGGCCGAAAAACAACAAAAGAAGATCATGTGATGTAACTAACAGGCCTACCTGATTTAGTCACAGCTCGGTCCTTATGTATAATCATCTCTGTATTTCAATGTGTGCAGCATATGTGTCATACATAAATTACATTTTTTCACTCACAAAAAAGCTGATACATGGGATTTATATCTTATCTGTGGGGACTGATGAGCAGACAGAATATGACAGTAGCAGTCACAGTGTACACGACTGTAGTTATCACGCTGATGTTTCCACGGCAACGAGTTAAACAGACTTAAGGCCTGTCTGTCAGCGGCTCACGGTCTCTGCCCTCTGCGTAAAACTGAAGTCCATGAGGGCTCAGTCCACAAGTCCAGAAAGAGGACGTTAGGATGCAGCCTGTGACTGAATGAACGCTGCCACCTCCTGCTTCAAATTATTGTATCACCCTTTAAAACCCAGTATCACCTTCTTCTCTGAAGAATATGATTAATGATTTCACAAAACAGTCTCACATAAGGATAAATATATTTATGTATAAATATGACACAAGTTTATATTGATTAAAGGGCTGTTGGCCAGCAGGGGGCGCTACAGTCCGGAGGTGTGGGAGTGTTTATGGCGCTTCAGCAGGTCTGGAAAACTCATTGAGAACTTGTTTGAAAGTGGTAAAATCAGACACATGAAAAATCAAAGCAACCACAGTGTAAAGATTTAAGGTGCAGCAGTTGTCTTAACAGGAAACAGGAAGTTGTTGTGAAACACTTTAAAAGTGATTTCTGTTTTCAGCTAAAAGCTTTAAGAGCTTCTTCTGACTGAAAAGGTGTGAAAACATGAAACGTTGTGACATTAAGGTCAAATATTGAAATTACAAGATTTATTATTTATAGATGAGACAAAGATCTTCTGGACTGATGATTCACTGCCTCAATAAAACTGTGCTGCTGATAGAAAATAATAAAATGTTTCAGTCTGAAGAAAAAAATTAACTGAACTTCATAACTTTATTTCTCTGCAGCAGGTGGAACACACACACACACACACACACACTAAATATAAAAAAAAATAAAACAGTGAAAACTCTGACATCTTGTTACAGACGACGACGACGATGAAGCCGGTCCACCTGGAGGCGATGACGATGATGAGGATGAAGATGACGAGGAAGGCTCAGAGGGAGACGACGAAGAGGAGGAGGTGGGCCTGTCATACCTGATGAAAGAGGGAATCCAGGTGAGTCTGTTGTTACGCTCTGTGTCCACTGAGCGGCGCTCTTCACTCACTCAAACACAAACTGACACGTTGATCTTCTCCTCAGGATGAGGAAGATGATGGAGACTATGTTGAAGAAGAGGAGGACGAAGACGAGGAAGAGGAAGATGGAGGTTTGTGTTTAAGTTATACAGGCTTTGCTGCAAATGTAATGTGACTTATGAGGAGACACAGTCAGTGATGTGACACCACAGGTCCATTTAACAGCTGCTTTGGAGCTTTTAGTCAAATTACATGATCTTCCTCAGTAAATGGAGGAAAAACAGAACTTTTAGTATTTTGTGCAGAGGAAGATCATGTGACCTGATCAAAAGCTACTAAATGGACCTCGTGGGGAGTTTCTGTTTGTTTGGCAGATTAGATTATCTTTTTGTACATTTATTTTTCTGTACTATTGAGACTTTTTTTTAAATGTCTACTTTATTCCCACAGCATCACAGCTTTATTCTGAAAATCTCAGACTTTAATAATATGAGAGAGGAAGAGTTGCTTTAATGTGAAAATCCTGTTGTGTGTCTCAGATGTGGACGGTGTTCAGGGGGAGAAGAGGAAGAGAGATCCAGAGGATGAAGGTGACGACGATGATGATGAATAGTCGAATCACCTTCGCTCCCCCCCTTGTCCTCCCTCCTCCTCCTCCTCCTCCTCCTCCTCCTCCTCCTCCTCCAGTGACCTCTGACCCTGCCAGGTGTCACCTCAGAGCCGCAGACAGACAGGAAACAGGTTGAGGATCAGTTCTCATTATACAGCGCTGTCATGTGACTGATGATGTCACCTTTCACCTGGTAACCTGATCAGATCACAGATCAGTACTGATGAACAGGAAACTGGACCACAGTCATGTTTTCTCTTTGTCTTTATTTACAACCACTCTGACTAACAGGTTTTCATGGTGGAAAGTAACTCAATACTTTTACTGCAGTTCTGTACAGATACAGTCGGAGATACTCACACTGGTTTTAGTTACTTGTTCATCCGCAGATTTTACTTATAAAACTTTTCATCAACTTCATCATCGTAACTCTCGTGGCCACAAAGATCCAGATTGTTTCAGTTAGTAGGATGTCAATTTGTAAAACATAAAAATACAGTGACGGGCAGTTTGATGTTTTCACGTGACAGTGTGAAAACACGTTGCTAACAGATTTGCTGTTAGATATGCTGATATTAACATGTTTGTGTCTGATCTGAGATCAGTTTCTCACAAACACAAGTCGTTAGTTCATCTGTCAGCTGTGATTGGCTGCAGCCACAAAGAGCACCTTGGGTCAAAGGTCGACCTATTTTAAATTTTATAAACTCTGTTTTGTAAAGACTCGATTTCGTAAAAACTTTATACATCATGCAAAAAAAACTGTAATTAATCCATTAAATTGTATTTAATTAATTTAATGAGGTGTTGTTACACATGACATCACACACACGCACACACACACACACACCAGAGTATAAATACACAACAACATACTGCTCACGTTACGGCATAAGAAATATTATAACATGAATAATGATGATAATAATTAACTGTGGTGTTTGTACTTTTACTTCAGTAAATATTCAGAGTATGTCTCCTCTGGATCTGTTTGATCCTTTAGTTTTATTGATCTGATCAGGAGTTCACACACATAGCTTGACTTTCTGTTTACATCTGTGGTGATGACTGCAGATGATCATCAGTAATTAATAATCACACAGTTTGATTTGGTTTATCCTGAACCAGACCCAGTCTGATCTAAAGACTACAGTACCCATAATCCTCGGCTCTCTGATTGGATGATTGAGACACCAGTGCACTCTGGGATGTTTCTGTCTTTATTTTAATATGACTGTTACTGCATTAACCCCTGACCCCGCCCCCTCACCTGTCACCTCTCCATCTGCCGCTCTCTGCTCCTCCTGGACTCTGTGGGTCTTGACTCTGGTCTCTGTCGGTCCAGAATGAGGACCTCTGTGGGGCCAGACTCTGGACTCTGCGTGACCTGAATTTGGATTCTGTAGGTCCAGACCCTTGACTCTGTGGGTTCAAAGTCTGGACTCTGTGGGCTCAGACTCTGGTCTCTCTGGGTTTTGGACTTTGGTCTCTTTGGGTCCAGGCTCTGGTCTCTGTGGGTCCAGACTGTGGTCCCAGCAGGTGGGTCCAAGCTCTGTTCTCTTAGGGTCCAGACTTTGGTCTCCACAGGTGGGTCCAGTCTCTGGTCTCTGTGGGTCCAGGTCTTTGTGTAAATAGAAGTGAAGTGGTCTCTGTAGGTTTTTTGTCGTCCAGTTTGAATCATTTTATTTTTTTATTCCCGTTTTCTTCTGTGTCGCTGTAATCACCAGAGTTTTTCAATAAAAAACAGAACGGACCAACGTTTCCTCTTTGATACTGTAAATATTACTACAAATATGGGACACATATTACTGTAAATATTACTACAAATATGGGACACATTACTGTAAATATTACTACAAATATGGGACACATTACCGTAAATATTACTACAAATATGGTACACACATTACTGTAAATATTACTACAAATATGGGACACATTACTGTAAATATTACTACAAATATGGGACACATTACTGTAAATATTACTACAAATATGGGACACACATTACTGTAAATATTACTACAAATATGGGACACATTACTGTAAATATTACTACAAATATGGGACACATTACTGTAAATATTACTACAAATATGGGACACACATTACTGTAAATATTACTACAAATATGGGACACATTACTGTAAATATTACTACAAATATGGGACACATTACTGTAAATATTACTACAAATATGGGACACACATTACTGTAAATATTACTACAAATATGGGACACATTACTGTAAATATTACTACAAATATGGGACACATTACCGTAAATATTACTACAAATATGGTACAAATATTACTGTAAATATTACTACAAATATGGGACACATTACTGTAATATTACTACAAATATGGTACACATATTACTGTAAATATTACTACAAATATGGTACACACATTACTGTAAATATTACTACAAATATGGGACACATTACTGTAAATATTACTACAAATATGGGACACATTACCGTAAATATTACTACAAATATGGTACACACATTACTGTAAATATTACTACAAATATGGGACACATTACTGTAAATATTACTACAAATATGGGACACATTACTGTAAATATTACTACAAATATGGTACAAATATTACTTTAAATATGGTACACATTACTACAAATATTACTGTAAATATTACTACAAATATGGGACACATTACTGTAATATTACTACAAATATGGTGCACATATTACTGTAAATATTACTACAAATATGGTACAAATATTACTGTAAATATTACTACAAATATGGGACACATTACTGTAAATATTACTACATATATGGTACAAATATTACTTTAAATATGGTACACATTACTACAAATATTTCTGTAAATATGACTACAAATATGGTACACATATTACTGTAAATATTATTATTTTTTCAGAATCTTATTGTTTCTGTTGAAGGGTAAATTTGTTATTACAGGCTGCAAGAGGTCAATTTCTGTTCACTGAAAGTGTTTGTTTTTTCCACTGACAGACTGTTGTTCCTAGTGTCTGACATCATTATACAAGGATCCCTACAGAGATAAACCTTTTCTTAAAGAGTAAGATCCTTTTTGTTTAACCAGAAGCAGCCATAACATCACCATCGCCAGTCTCACCAGACTGCATCTAAATAAACTGTAATTTTAACACATATAGAGTCATCACATTTTCACATCTGACTGTGGGAATTCAGGGTTTATTTCAACCAAATCAGAGCTGGTGATTGTTGGAACGGTGGAAAGATGAGCCAAGAATTTTTTTGTGAGTTTTATTTGTTTCTGTCGACTTTGACTAAAGTATGTTTTATGATGATGAAATTACAGTTTGTTTTTTTTAGCCTGGTGTGTCTGGTGATGGTGACTTCAGGGCTGTCTCTGGTGAAACGAAAAGGATTTTATTCTTTAACGAAAAGGTTCATCTCTGTCAGGATCCTTTTATAATGATGTCAGACAAATCTGAGTCTGTCAGTGGCAGAACAAGCACATACAGTGGACATATACTGATGGTGCATAGTTGCCCTGGGTGGTAACGTTGCAGCCTTCTCGCGCAATACTGTCCAATTTAGAAGTCCTCAATAAAACACAAAGATATTCAGTTGATTGAGATGTAAGACAGAGGGAAAATATGGAACAAATTAAGAAATTATTTAATCCTACAAGTAACTAAATTTAGTTTTGATTTCACAGTGAACTGACAAAATTCAAAAGTAATAACTCTTAATGTAAGATTTAAAACAAACATTATAATGACATGTTCATTATTTATCAGTTTGTTTTCACCACATGGTGGCGCCAAAGGTCAACTCAGAAACACAGTCCTCAAGAGTTTTTAATTTTCTACAATTATTCATTATTCATGTTTTCTTTGTCATTAAATGTTTTAGTTCTAAAGTTTTTATAGATATATATATAAATAAATTATTTAAGCATTTAAATGTTTTAAATAACATAATTCTTTATTTTTTCTTTTGTCAATAAATTAAAATGTTTACCTGTAATATAAAGAGAATCTATGTAATATATAAATATATATAACATGTATTCTATATGTCAGTTTGTGTTTTAACTTGTTAAAAGTGATGAGGAGGGGTCTCTGCTGCTCTGACCTCTGACCCCTGATGGTGGTGTTGATGTCACACTGAGCTGCACCACAGGTTGGAGGTCATGTGATGTCATCATGTTACTTTAATTGCAGAACTTACTGATCAGTAATCAGCAGGTTCTGATATGTGTTTATGTCTGGATGAAGCCTCCTGTTTTGCTTCCAGATGTTTATATGCATTTATAAACCTCTACAGACTGAGGCACTGCTGATTATTGATTATTGACATGTTCCTCAGACATTAACATTTATATTTATTTTTCTATATATATTTTTTCTTCATGGTACTGAATGACTGTGTGACTGTAGTTCACACACACAAACACACACACACACACACACACACACACACACCCGGTAAGAGTGAAGCAGGTCACTCAATAAGCCAGTCAATGAGATTACATCAAACCCTGAGTGTGTGAGTGTGTGTGGTTTCCATGGCGACCTGTGAGCGCTGTGCTGTACCTGCTGACTCAGCTGACAGGTGAGCAGACAGGAAGTGTTTAAAGGATTAAAATTGAGTTTTTGTGTCTCAGCGGGAGACAAACAGTTTATCTTTTTAAATGCTTTTTGGCGAGGGCCATGATGCTTAAAAAAAGGTATCCACCTATTTAAAGATTTGCCATGAAAGTCAATGGGAAAAAAGTCTCTTTGGGTCACATGGCATCATGTGGCGGCGCAGTTACACAGTTTGGCCACTACAAAAATGAGCTTCAGGGGCCAGTGCACTTCCTCAGGCCTGGTTTAAACCTGATATTTCTGCACAGTTGCAGACAGCACAAGACTCACCTGCTAGGGCTCCATGACGGGAGCCAACAGCAGAGAGTTGACTTGTAGCGTTGGAAACAAGACTTACCTGCACAGGCTCGAAGATTTGGCCTGCTGGGATGGATCGGCCACTAGTAGGCAGATTAGGTAGGGCAGATCAGTTCCCAGGTCCTTATGGTCCACCTGGATGATGTCTCTTTTGTGTGTGTGTGTGTGTGTGTGTGTGTGTGTGTGTGTGTGTGTTTCAATAATTTTGCTTTGATTTGTTTGGGTGAGCAGAGCCCTCACCTGACAACCAAATCAGAGAAACACTCACTCATTCATTCACTGCAGTGCTCTGCTCAGTCCTTCAGATGTTGTTGCTCCGCCCCCTTCCACCTGTACACACCTGTCTCACATCAGAGCATTGTCTCGCTGCTCCGTCGCCATGGAAACGTGTTAAATGTAAAGCAGAGAGTTTGCATTATGTTTGCATTATGTTTGCATGAGAAGTGTCACAGTGATCTGATGAAGGTTCAGTTCTTCATACACTCACTGAAACATTAACTCTCTATAAAACTCCTGTGAAGCGGTCTGAACAACGCTGTTAAAAGTGTGGAGATGACAGAGGACTTCAGGACGAGCCCTCCAACACCTCCAACCCCTGTTGTGGAATCCTTCAGGTTTCTGGGATCCACCGTCTGTCACAACCCAGATTGGAAGTCCAGCAACGACACCATCAGGTAAAAGGCCCAGCAGAGGATGGACTTCCTGCGCCAGCTCAGCAAGTTCAACCTGCCTCAGGAGCTGCTGATTCAGTGTTACTCTGCACATCCATCACTGTGTGGACTGCTGAGAAACTCGTCCAGCCTGCAGCCAGCCTGCCCTCCCCCCAGGATTTATACACCTCCAGAGTCAGGAGGAAACAGGCAGGTAACATCACTGCAGACCCTTCACACCCTGAACCTGTAACAACCTCTCTCCTCTGGGAGGCGCTACAGAACACTGTACACCAAAACAACCGGACACAAGAACACTTTGTTTCCACAGGCCATCACGATGATGAACACTTCACACCAGTCACATCCTTTTGGCATCCAAACCCTGTGCAGAAACCCTGTGACACAGAGCGTCCAATTAACCAGTAAGGTATATATTTTATAGTCTAAATACTTCCGCATGTTCATATTATCAATATAAGAGCATCCCTGTGTACATGATGTATACTGTACGTCATATCCACCGACCTCATGTATATAAAACAACATGTTGCACTAATAATCCTGTATTTATTCCAGCACCCTTTGCACACTGCACCAATGCTCTGCTGTGTCTGTTAACAAATCTGTATCTTATCATATTGTATTGCATCTTATCTTATTTCTTATCGCATCTTACTGCATTTTATCACCTCTTATCTTATATCTTGTCTTGTTATGTTATCTTATTGTATCATATTTTATAGTATCGTATCTTGTCTTATCACATCTTATCGTATCGTATTTTATCGAATTGTATCTTGTCTTATCGCATTTTATCGCCTCTTATCTTATATCTTGTCTTATCTTATTGTAACGTATCTTACCACATCTTATCTTATATCTTATCACATCTTATCATATCGTATTTTATCGTATCGTATCTTGTCTTGTCGCATCGCCTCTTGTCTTATATCATATCTTATGTTATCTTAGTGTAAAGTGTCTTATTGCATCTTATCTTATATTTTAAAATATTGTATCATATCCCATCTTATAGTATCGTATTGTACCTTGTCGCATCGCATCTTGTCGCATCATATCATTACACCGATTACACAATTAGAAATGTGAGAAGGAGCTCAAGGTGTCGACCTGGCCTCCAAATCCCCCTGGTACCTATCTGATCGAGCATACAAGGGATGTACAGGTACACCACCTCCCACCTTGCACTCCGTCTTGTCAGGTCAGAGCTTAGTCGGATGGGGTACCGACACTTCCCACAGATGCTCAATCAGATTGGGATCTGGAGATTTTTGAGGCTAGGTCGACACTTTGAGCTCTTGCATTCCTCCGACCATTCTTTCGCAGTTTTAAGGTGGGACATGGTGGCTACTGCCATCAGGGAGTCTGCAATGGTCTCTGGGCAATTGGAGCATGTCAGGCGGTATCCACAGAGATGTCAGCAGAATGTTGCATTGTGACAACATGATCAATGTTGTTCGCTTTAGTTGTCAGCATTGTAATGTTTTGGCTGAGTTTTGAGTTCGACACATCATGTGGAGATCTCTCAGTCTTCCAAAAAAGGTCTTGTTGGTGCAAACTTCCCCTTTTGTGTTTCCTCTCTGAGCTTCCTGTGTCTAAATCAAGAGGTGACGAAGTGTCAGAAATGTGCCGATGCACAAAACATGTTCAGTTAGAGCTTCGTCAGACTGCTCAGTCATGGGTGTTCAGGTCAGCACTGAACCCAAACAGGGGGTCAGCTGTCTACTGTTGTTTCATGTTACAGCGCCCCCTAGCCACAACACTCAGACTGCAGCTTGCTTTGCCTTAAAATTAGAATTGAGCCAAGTACTGGGATGAAACAAGTATCCAGTACAGATAGAGTACTGAAGAAGCCGGTAACAACAGCAAAATATACTTCCAGAGTCATGCATCTTTGGATGCACAGTTCACACTGTGTCAGCTGAAAGAGTTAAATATTATAAAATACATGTATGGGAGGAAAACACGGAATGGCAATTGTTTGGTCCGTGATGTAATAGGTCAACTGGAAAAAGGTCCAATAGTATCAAGCTAAAAGGGGGCATATCGCCGCCTATTGTGGCAGAGTCAGACATACTTTAGTCACTAAAGAACTTGAAGCTGCAATCAAAAAGAAGGGAGGAGGAAAACACCTCAGCATCCAGACCTCTGACACAGACACAGAGTTCACTGACAGTCTGTTCAGAGAGGCTCAGACAAGGAATATCCAGGTATACAGTAGCCTAGAGAAATCAATGTTTTAGTCAAATCAGATTCTCAGCATTGGTTGATGATTGATTATTCACCTCATAAATCATGACACACCTCTTTCCCCCTTCACTAAAAAAAGCCACTTTTAATGATAAAAGTATTGGTGTCAGTATTGATATCTGTGATTCTGGCCCTGTATCACTTGGTTTCGCATCAAGACCAAATGTCATGGTAGAGCCCACCCCTTCTTCTCATTGCTCGAAGCATCTGTGGTTGTGTGGATCATAATTCTGCCCCAAAAGCGGCTCTGTGAGGCTGCACTGAGACACAGCAGCGCTTTGAGCCTAATGTGCTAACGTGCTCACAGGGACAGTGCTAACATGCTAAAGTTAAGTAAGCACAGACTGGCTGAAATCACTTCCTGTATGACAAACACTCAGCTGTGTTCACCAACGCAGAGGTCCTCACTGGAGCACAAAATGTGGATTAATCCACCGCTGAAATTAGTCCCAGACAAAGTCAATGTTTCATCTGGTTTGTTTGATTAAAAACTACTGTGAGCAGCTGATTCAGGAAATTGGATTTACATCTTCAGTAGGAACAAACTCGGAGCTGAGAGACACAAACAGGAAGTCAGACAAACTAACAAAAAAAATATATGAAAACAGCAGACTGATCCTTTAACACAAGGCTGCGTCTCTTCTGTCTGCAGGTGTGAAGTTGTGAGGTGTTGTTCAGGACCACCGGTTGCCTAGCAACACACACACAGACACACAGTGTCAGGGGTCTAATTAAGCCCTGCAGGATACCTCGTTAACAGTTTAATGAGACGGCACTGATCCAAGTTCAGTTTGCAGGTTTTTTTTTTTATTTTAGCACATGAACTGATCAGGACTCACAGCACCACCACTGCCGGACTACATCTCCCATCATCCCCTCTGGTTTTAAGGCTACAGCAGCTGCTCGGTGCCACAGAGACAAACGGAAGATCAAACAACAGAAACAGGAAGATGTGTTGAACAGCTGAACAGTGACATCATTAAAGGAACAATCCACCATTTTGACCGAAGAGCTGCTCGGTGTGACGTGACAGACAACAAATCAGATTCATTAAAGTAATGACATCATCCAGTCACATTAACAGAGTTTATATCCGTATTAATGAACTGTGTTGAAGCTGCTCTGTGGAGTTTTCTTGTAAACAAACTTTCTGTTTACATTCAGTGTTTTTTATAACTGAACAAACATCGGTCTTAAATTAGAGGTCAGAACCTCCACAGGGAGCCCTGAACTTTAATAGGAGACATGTTGTACATTACAGGCAGTGTAATAAAACCACTGTAATTTAATGTTCTGCAATTTAGAGACTATAAAAACAATTTTCTGGCCAAAATGTTGAAATATTCCTTATTTCTTTTATTGCAAACTTTATTTTTTGTGACTGAGTAGTTGATGTTCGTGGATCCAAATTTATGTAACCAGATGAAGTTTTTAACAAATCTGTTTTGTGTCACTTTTTTATTGCTCCCATCACACTTCAACCTCCAACACACACACAACAGAAATCAGCTGAACTTAAGCTGTAACAGTACAAAAGCCTGAATGTTGTCTAAAAAAATAAACTTTTCTCAGTAAAACTGTGATTGTACTTAAGTCTACAGGAGGCTGAGACTCATGTGACCTGTTGAAGCGTCTCTGAGCGGGACACACGTCACTTCACTGGGAGGTAAAATAACAAATCTGGCTTTAATTCCAGTTCCAGTTCATTTTATCCAGGTAAACATTTGTGTATTTTTATGTCTACAGAGAGTTTAATTGTTCCTCTCAACAGAATCAGGACTTGAGGAAGCTGATTTCCACCACAAGAAGAAAAGTATGGATGAAATGTTAGAAATAAAAGTACACATGGTTAGAAGAATGAATCCATAGCAAGGAAAAGTTTACATTTTACCTAAAAACATCTTGAAATAGTTCGTGTAAAACATGTTTTTTTCCAGTTCTTCCCATTTTGCTGTAGCATCAGCCTGTTTGTAATTTTGATGAGTAATTTTATTTTAATTATATCAAGAAAGACATAATCTACCTGATTATGTCCAGCAAACTGTTTAGAAAAGACATTTACATGTTCATTTTTTATCATGTTCAAGCGAGCCCCAGAGTCCATAGAGATTATCGATATCTTTAAACCACACTAGACAAAGTTTTTAGGAGCTCTGTATATTGGTTCATGACTGTTTGCCTTAAGTATCCCTTGACCTCTGGTGTCTGCTAGGTAGCTAGCTGTCCAGCTAAATAAGATCCAGATGTTTTTAATAAAAAAAAAAAATAAGATAGCGACATTGTAGTGATTAAATATGAGGCCAAATGTAGCAATAAACCATTTTATAATTCATTATACACGAAGACATGATTCACCCTCTCTTTTAAGCTAACACTTCATAGCTAGCTAAACGCAAATTTAGCATTTTCATCACGGCCTTCACCTATGGGCCAAGGGGCGTAAGGGGGCTGATCGGGGACTGGTGTGTAGGTATGGTGGGCGTCATGTAGCTAATCCAGCTGCAGATATACATTCTCAGATAATTGGGATAATTTTATTTGCAGCAGTTAAACTTTTTGGCTTCATGCGCCACTGAGCAAATTTCATAAGAATGAACAGGCCTCTGCCTCCAACGCCATATCCAGGTCTCTTAACACATCCATGATCATAACAGTAAGATCGCATCATCCCTGTTTTCTGTAGCCAGGGAGCTACGTTAGCATCAGATAGCTAATGCCAGCTAATTAATGCTAACTTGCTAGTCTTTAGTTTACTGAACTGACCAGCTAAAGAGGTTCAGGGTGTTGAGAATGACTGAAACAGCTTTGAAGAGTTACGAATTTGTACGTGATGAGTCGGCTAAACTCATCTTTCTCAATCTATTAGCTAACATTAGCATAACTTTCCCCTGATGTTAATGACTGCACAGCTATCATGCTTGTTAGTAATTTTCATTGTTCTTGTCCTAACTTAATATTAGACGGACTTCTACAGATTTTGAATTTCTTGAGTCGTTAGCCTTGTTAGCTTTGTTAGCCGCTTGTTCAGAGTGCAGCTAGTCCTGATCTGCAGAGAAGAATAATCAAAGACTCTGACATCTGGTCTTCTTGGGACTACTCAAGTATGTTTTAGGTGTTCTGAGGAGCGTGGAGATGGATTCAAACATTGTGAAAATCAGTCCTGCTCTTGTCAAACATTGCAACTGCAGTCACTGAGTTTCCAGAGCCTCAGAGAAAATTCACATTCAGAAAAAAAGAGGAAGAAGAGTCTGAGGTCGCTTCGGACGGTTTGGTGCATAGTATCTGTTTGTCCTCATCTGGAGGTCTTCAAGGGTCCTAAAACTTGTACCTAATCCAAAAAGGCTTTTGACTTTACTCAAAGTCAGAGTGGACGTGATCAAAACCTGAACCATCAAAACCTCCCTGAAAAGCAGTGGCTCTCCTGAGTCTACAGAGAAGAGGAAGGAGGACATCTTCAAACAAAGCAGCTCGTACAAATACCAGAATTAATCCTGAAGCTTTGACTTCTGCTCATCTACCGTCACATTCAGTCCTTCACCTCTTCACTTCTGACCTCTCCTTCATACAATATTTACCCTGCATTTGTATTGTCAACTGTTTCACCTAAAACTTTACCTTTAGATTTCCCAAAAGACGTACCAATGTATCTCCAACATAAATATTCATAAAGTGAAATAAAAAGGATCCAGAGTGATGGGTTTTCCTCGTCTCTGATCTCTCGCCTTGGCACATTTTCTTTTACTTTGACGAGAGACGTCAGATAAGTCTTTTTTTAAAGGTACCTCAAGTGTTTGTGCAACCAAAGAGAGACATTAAGGGATTTTCAAAGCTTGGAAAAGTATCTAAGGATACTCCCAAAGGACACAACTTAAGTTAAATTGATGCTACACGTTGTTTTTGTAAGGAAGATATTTTGTGAAGAGGCATTGTGCACCTGAGCACTGAGCTGTATCAGTCAGCAGGCAAGTCCTGGTTCCCCCTGACAGCTGAAAATCAAAACCTGAATTTGTCCAAATAATTTAAAAGTGGTTGATCCAGTTCTCAGCAGCTTCATCTGAAGTCCAACAAAAAGAAGCAGAGGCAACGCTCAGCTTCGTGGCTTTACCTGGATTGGACCGGTCTAATCCGGTCCGTACCAGAATGAGTCCGTACCATGCGGCTCACATCAGGCTTTTGGGGTCTGGGTTTAGTTTGGAGCTGTTCGAGGGGGTGAGGGTGGAAGAGGAGTCCAGTTGTCGGTACAACGCCCTTAGTTCCTTCACCTCCTCCAGCACTTCCCGGGCCTGGCTCCAGGCTACTGACGCCTCCTTCAGGAGTCTCTCTGCCTCAGCTCTCGCTCCTTCAGTTGACTCCTTCCCTTTCATCTTCCCCCTCTCCCCGACCTCCCCATCAGCCTCCCCGCGCACCTCCTTCAGCAGCCGCTCCGTCTTTTCCAGCTTCTGGCTGATCAGCTCCTGCAGCTGGCTGATGGGCGCTGCAGTGCCGTTCATCGTCAAGGCTGGAGAGCGGGTCGCCGCCGCTGTCTTGTTCTTAGCAGCTTTAGTCTCTGAGTGCGTCAGGATCTCGTCCATGGAGGCGCAGCGGTTTTTCTCTGCTGTCGTCAGGCGTTTTCCAGGCTGGGGGGTTTGACCCGTGTGCTCCCACACCACCGCCACCTCACGGGGAAGACTCTGGGATTTCCCAGAAGCCTCTGCCGTCTTGACAGAGAGAGCGCCGTCAGTTTTGGACCTGGGACAGTCCGAGCTGAGGTGGGAGGCACAGCCTTCGGCTCCCTGAGAAGCAGGAGCGTCCTCCTCCTGGATCAGATCCAGAGTTAGCATCCCATCTGAGGAGGAGGTGGAGGCCTAACAGACAGAGAGGAGGCGGGTGAGTCTGTGACAACAACTACAACACAGAGTGATATAAACCTTCAGATTTGTATACACTCTAAGAAGAAACATTTAAAGTCATCGACACAAGTTTTTGTTGTCTAAACAATCTGTACTCAAGGTCCACTTACTCTCTTTGCTTGTTTCGGATGTTCTGACTCTATTACACGGTCATCATCAGCAATTTAAATTTGTTTAGTTGTCATAAATCCCTAGATGTTCAAACTTTTCATTACTTGGAGCAAGTCATCCAGGTTGTCTTGAAAGGACCAGGAGGACTGTGTGATTCAGTCAAAAGCTCCAGAAAAAGTAATCAAGTGGACCTTAAGCTGAGATTGTTCTGTGAGATGCTGTTTTTAGGGTTGAACTTTTGATTTCAACGTAAAAAAAGAAGTCCAAAACGCACTCAGAATAATGTAACAAGCTAACACCAGTTAGGATGTCTTTCAATTTCTCTATTGTGTATACCAGTTATACAAAATGTACAGTTTATGATTTATAAGACACATCTGAGCAGATATCATCCTGACTGGTCATTTTATACTCATAAAAATATGAAATAATCTACAAACGATTTTATACTTTTGGCAAAATGCATTCAATATTTCATATGAAATAATGGTCATTTATGTTGAAATGGCTTCTTATAGAGGAGAGTAACGAGGTGATACTGGAGGAAGAGAAGATGAAAGAAGAGGAGGAGATGATGAAGGATCAGACTGACCACAGCCAGCAGGTGACCTCTGGTTGGCAGTCGTCGGGTGTGAGGAATCTTCACTCGATCTCGGGTCAGATGAGAAAGCTGAGAGTCTTCTACGATCACCTGTAAACAGCACAAACAGTCCTTCAGGTAAAGGGTAGTTTAACATTTTACAAAGCAAAAAATACATTCAGACCGAGGGGACCCAGAATCGGCCCCTGAGGAACTCCTAACTGTACCAAGCTGCACTTCCTTTAATGTCCACTGGATGCTGCTGTGATCAGAACTCAGAACAGCTTTTACACAATAAGGTCAGCGCTCAGGAAAACTTTTACTTAATTTGAGATTTTCAGAACTGACTCATTTAAAATATATTAGAACTTTGAAGGAATAATTTACCCACAAAATGATTATTTGTATATCAGTTAGTGATGCCATGTTACCTTGAATTTGTAAAGGAAACTTTTCTTGGATTCCTCCACAGAAAACAGCAACATTAATAATTTATTAATTGATTGGGGACCATATTCAACAACAGCAAAACTATATCAAAACATCCTCTTCCAAACTTCCCAGTCCACAGAGGCATGAGAGAATACACTTTCCTTCATCAAATCAAGATTACACGGCACGAATAACTGATACACAAATGGTCATTTTGTGGGTGAAGTATTCCTTCACAGTTCATTTGCCCCCTAAGTGCAGTTCGTTTGGGCAGGTGTGAACACACCAAAACAACCGGACCGAGACCTTCTTGAAGAGGTAGTCTTTGTCCGGGTTACAAATGAACTCTGATGCGGTTCGTTTGTGGTGAGAAGGTGCTCCGACCTGGATCTGAACCATCTTCAGTCACATGACACATTGTTTGTGTTAAACATGAGCATGTTACAGTCCTGGAGGATTATTAATGTGCACCTCCTCCTGTACTGCCTTAATATGCACATTCAGCACATCCAATGCATCAAAACATTGTTTTCTAGTTGGAGCCGCGCCTCGTTTTCAAACTGTATGGTTTGACTAAAATGAACAATGACAGCAATATGAGCAGCGCTAAAATCAGCCTGCGTAGTTGTCCCTCCATTGTGACATTAGAAAGTGTCACATTTATCTTGCAAGTGTACTCTTCTTCAACGTTTGCTTTACTTCCTGGATTTTTCCCACATGGAAATTCTGACCAATCAAAAGCAGCTTTCTCAAAAACTCCTGATGATCTGCAGTTAGACTTTAAACATGTTTAATGCAAGAGCTTTTTTGTGCACCAGCACAGTCTGAATAAACTCGACCAGGCCTGGAATTTACACAGATTTACATACATGCTGTTATTTAATACTTTTCCAGGAAACACTGGCTGGAACACACTACAGTAACACTATGGCATGAATGTGGTTCATGAGAGGCTTTCATTCAGCCTGGAACACGATGTGTGTGAGAGAAAGTGTATTGATCCGAGTATTGATCAGAGTATTGACTGGTGGAAAAGGCTGAAGGTTGTTGACTGAACGCTGAGCAGAGGCTGTATATGCAGACAGCTGCTCTAACATACTTCCTGTTACTGTCAGTGAGGACACTGAAATAAACACATGAAACATCAGTAACAGGAAACACTGCTTTCTAAAATCAGACATGATGACATCTCCAATATATTTCAACACCGTTTTAAACCAGAGCTCAAAGACAAAGATACTGTGTGACAAAACAGGAAGTTAGTTGTTGTTGTTTGTCAGCAGGTGAAGCTGCAGCAGAGACACACGGATCGTGGAGGAAATTAAGAGACAGACTGATGCATTGTGTCAAAAATCACATTCCTTCTTGGAGTCACAACTGAATCAAATCTGAACACACTGACATGATTCACACATTCTCTGATTCAGTGTGACTTACACTTCAAGATGATACCATTACTTAAAATCATAGAGTAGAATTCGCTCCAGAAGTTGCCTGATAATTATCACGTTTTTAAGTTTTCTTCAGTGTCAAAGTAATCCAACAATAGATGCCTGTACATCCATGGGTACGCTGCACACAGGAGCCGCTCACAGACCATTCAGCACACTTTCAGTACCAACATTATACTTCCTGTTTACCTCTACCAAAGCCTAGACTTCAGGAACTATGGAGCTCCAGGTGCGAATTAATCCGCCACTGAAAATAGTCCCCAGCAAACAACAAAATACTGTTTTCTTCCTGTTTGTTTGATAAAAACTAAGGTGATCAGCTGTTTTAGAAAATTGCTGATGAAACTGTACATTTACCTCTTCAGTAGGAACCATTGGGCTTGGAGCTGAGAGCCACAGACAGGAAGTCAGACAGTATTAAAAGATGGACTAACATATTGTTGCACTTGAGATATGTAGATGATAAATCAAATCTGTCCTCAGTGACTGATGGAGTCCACGAAGAGACAATAATGGATTCTGTGTTTGTCTTCGTACCTCATCCAGGATTTTGTTCTTGGCTCGAGTGATGGCGACATTCAGGACGTTGATCCAGGACTCTTTCTCCTCGGGACTGACAGCCAGGAAGACCAGGTTAGGAACCTACAACACACCAAAACACAAGTCCACATGAGTGTCTGTCTGTTAAACTCCACGTGAACTTGATGGATCACTGAATCGATCGGTGACCTCGTAAATTAAGTCAGCTACACAGCGAGGATTGAGCACTGTGAACAGGTTCCTAATTAGAACCAGCTCCAAATTTGGATCCCAAATGAATCATAAGGAAATTCGAATTATAGTTCTGCTTATCGGTTCCTAACAGCTACACACTGGTGCTCTCTCTGGACACAATGATGCTGAGCAAAGTGGTACATTTTGTTGTTGTTCTGTCGAGGCACCATGGGAGGATCGATAAGGGATGTGAACACGAGTCTGGCTGAGGCCATGTGCCGGACCGCAGGTTTTCTTCTCTGTTAACTGTCTCTCTCTCTCTCTCTCTCTCAACTACGGGTGTAAATCACTAGTTTCACCACAGTACGATATATCAGTTCTTTGGACAATACAATATTTGCTGATATCACCAAGTCTGCCACAATAGGGTTTTAATTTGATTCAATTCAGGAGCCTGCGATCAATGTGAGAGGTGATCAGTAAAGATCTTCATTGTCTTTTTCTAAGCTGCTTGTCACTGTCTGCCTGGTGTGAGGCCGCTACCACAGTTTGACTGTTTGTGAAGGAGGTGCACTTTAATAGAAACAGCAACACAGACGTGAGGACAGAAACAGAGGGCTCGGCGGGGACAGAACACCTGCTGCGGTCATTTTGACCTGACCAGCAGACTTCACTACAAGCTGATTGGCTGTCAAAAGAGGTGATAGGTTTTACGTACTAAAACCAGCTGCCAGCCATTTGACCAGCTGAGTTGCAGGTGACACCATCAGCTGGCTTAAGTCGAGCTCAGACCGGCCAGTTCACACCGCTGCAACAACGTTTTCTCCACAAATTCAGATGAACACGTTGTGAGTACCTGATATACAAATGGTCATTTGGGAGCTGACGTGTTCCTTTAAGAGCCAACAGAAATGAGAGTCACCTGTTTATGTTAACATACTTAATGATACATACTTCTGATTCTGATTCACGTCAGACAAAAGTTCCACTGAGAAACAATGACTGAACAAAAACGCTGACAGAACACTGGTTGACCTATCACAGCGCAGAACACCACACACACACATATAGATACACACTGTTTTAGGAGGCCTCAGTGGGAGACACATCACCAGATGGCCGAGTGTGTGTGCGTGTGTGTGTGTGTGTGTGTGTAATAGAAGCTGCCACCTGTCTGCAGGACACCTGATCCCTCCCCAGGGCATTCTGGGTATTTGTGGGATGGCCTGCAGATATCTGCTGAATGTGTGTGTCTGTGTGTCTGTGTGTGTGTAAAGCAGAGGCTCCACCTGTTTCCAGTCAGCTGCTGTCAGTCACTGACTCTGTTTTTATTAACAAACTGATGTAGATATAAAAGTGTTTTCTGTCTGAGGTGTGACAGTAGTTGTGTGGGTAAAAGACTGACTGAATAAATGATGACGTACGTGAAGCATGAAGAGCTGAAAACATGAGATGTGTGTGACGGGCAAAGAGCATACTGTGACCTTCCTCACTTTAAGACATGAAACTAACAGACAAGTTTTATCTCCATCATGTTTTCGATCGTTTGAGCTTTGACTGGAGCTCTTTTAACCACCTCTTCTTCTTCTGTGGTGGTTTAATGGCACGGACCAGCTGTTCATGTATATATATATATATATATATCATACTAATATCACAGAACAGGAGTGGATGGAAACAAGACTCAAGTCAGGTTTCATTTAGTTAACATTTGAGCTCCACGTGGGTGAAACTTGATAGTTTAATAAATTCAGTTTACTCACATTAGATGTTTAATAGTACTGACTGTAGTTATATAAAACATCCATATGTCTTCAAAGGTAGACAGACAGGTGTACAGACAGACAGACAGACGGACAGACAGGCGTACCGTGTTGCCCGGCGTGCTGCAGCGCTGCAGTCTGAATTTGCTGTGGTTCTTTTTACTGCGACTCTTGTTCTTCCTGATCTCCTCACAGCGTTCGTAGTCCGACAGGTCCAACACCTCGTCAGCCCGGCCCAGCTCCTTCACCTGCAGGACACACACAGGTAGCACGGTTAACACAGGTCAAAGGTTACAGGTCAACTGACTGAAAAATTGTTCTTTTTTTTTTAGATTATTTTTGGGGTATTTTTGCCTTTAGTGGACAGGAAAGTCTGGCATGAAATGGGGAGAGAGGATGACATGCAGCAAAGGGCTGGAATTGGAATTGAACCTGCGCCCCCCAGTTGTTCATCTTCACAGGTGTATTTTTTAACTTTAAACAGGCTAGCTGTTTCCCTCTGTTCCCAGTCTTTATGCTAAGCTAAGCTAACACATCCTGACTCCAGCTCAGTACATGAGAGTGTCAACAATCTGAATGTCTGACTCTGAGAGAGGAAGAGAAGAGGAGAGTTGGACGGCTGCAGGTTTTCTCTCAAAGAGTCAAAATAAAATGCAAACACAGTCAAATTACAGCAGAAGAAGCAGACGTGTTTACAGACATGGAAACTGTCTGAAATAAATTCAAATAGAAACACAAACTAAAGTAAACAGAACTCCCTCTGCACAGCCAGGCTCAAGGATCAGGTGCTGGTCAGCCGCAGGAACATCTCAGATGAAATCATCAACATAAACCGCTGCACACTGAACTGAGTTACTCTGATCTAATTAGGAGCGAACAGTGCGTGGCGTCTTCAGGTCCGCTCAACAGAATCACTAACGGGTGTGATAACATACATGGGTCACATGACTAATTATCACGGTTATTTCAGAGCAAGATTCATAAAGAGTACAAGAGTTACAAGAATAATATGTGATTAAACCTTATCCCATTACATAGATGCAGGTCCTACTTCTGTCCCTCGACACTGACGGAAAGGGGGAGTGACAGGGAAGTGACAAGGGACCTAGAGGCTCATCTCTCCCTTCGGACCCAAATTACCAGTGGAGGTATGTATAAGTTAATATTTATATCACACAGCATTTTAGATCCATGAATTGAATACACTGGAGCCATACGGACTTAATGAAACACAGGATTTGAGTCATTTTCTGTGACATAAATATTAACTGGTAACTCTTGTACTCTTTACTAATTAGTCATGTGACCTGTGTATGTTTATCACACCTGTGAGTGCTCAAAGATGCAGCTGATCATTCGCCATCAGAGACACACTACATGTTATATATTAGACGTTTTAAATTAATCAGACATTTGTGTTTGTTGACTGACAGTCTGCAGGTTAACACACTCTGTAGCTCTGTAGTTAGCTCTGTTACACACACACACACACACACACACACACACACACACACACACACACACACACAGCAGGTGCTAGCATTGGTTTCTGCAGGTTAACCTCAGCTCATTAATCTCTATGGAAACAGCATCCATTATTCAGCTGTTTTAAACTGAGACTTCCTGGGAGAGAGGCCACGCCCACCGCACGCACACACACACACACACACACACACAGCTAGCAGCTAACCAAAGCTAACAGAGAGCTTCCATCAGATCAGATGTCGTGACACAACAGACACAACGGTACGGATAAAGACAGTTGAGTGTGTGTGTGTGTGTGTGTGTGTGTGAGGTCAGTCCGCCCGTCATCAGCCAAATAATCAATATTCAGTGTTATAAGTGGAGCTGCTGACATAACAAAGTCAGTGACAGTCAGTGACCTCTGACCTCTTCACAGTGTGAATGAAACATGTTGTTCTTCATCATGTCATGTCTCATGCACACTGGAGGATTTTCAAGTCGTAACTGATTTTGAAAACACGTGTGAGAGCACAGAGGTAAAGACAGATTTAATCAATTTATATTTTTTAATTGTAAGAGCGCTCACACCGGATGATTCAGTCAGGACCCTCGACCACACCCTTGATGTTTAAACAGTTTCAGACAGAAGTTTGTGCGATTAAACTTAACTCCAGATACAAAATAAACATGACGGTGGACTGTCGTCATCAGCTGGGTGCACATGTACGTGCTATGTTTGTGCTGAGCACCTATATAGATATTAAACCAGCTATGTTTCCACTGTCCGTCTGTCTCTGGAGACAAAAGACCTATTAGTGCTGTTGGCAGCCATGTTTCTGTTCTACACAAGCGCTCATCCTCTGGTCAGCTTGCTCTGATATTGCAGGTTTCTGCTCATTATTCCATCGCTGTTCATTCACACTTCACAGTCTCAGTCATAAATGTCAAACATGTTGGATATTAAGGATTCAAAACCAGGGAGACTCTGATACAGTCGCTAATGTTCAGATGATGTTTATAAGCCCCTCACGCTGCGGATAATCTGTTCAGATCAGCCTCCAATCAGGAACATCCCCCACGACTGTCGGGAGGAGCGAATTGGACACAAATCTACCCAAATATCTTCTCGTCTGAGGCCAGTATAAACATGTTATACTACTTCCTGTCTCACCTGAGCAGCAGTTTTACTTGAAATTTGTTTTGATACAAATAAATTCTTTATTATTGTTAATCGTAATAGTGTGTCTTCTAAAACACTTAGGCCCTGATCACATGGAAAGCGTTTTAGCAGCTGGAGGCGGCTTTTTGTAATTGATTTTAAATAGAATGAAGCTTTTTGCTTGCTGTTTTTGCGTTGCTACACAGTTGCGTTTCTGCCCTATAGGCGCCTGGTGTTCTTGCCAGAGCACTCTGAACTCCTCAAGTTGAGACGTCACCTGTGCTTTTTTCCAATTGTCCAACTGGATGATTTGAGAGGCGGGCCTTCTGTGGTCGTCACGACAACAAGTTTACAGTTGGTAAACAATGGAGGAGAAACTGGTGGTAGTGGTTGCTGGATACCCAGAGCTTTACGGCCTGATGATAGACAGCAGGTTGTCAAACTGCCCCTGAGTCATCCTAAAATATGCCTGTAATCGTCCATCATGGAGGAGAAGCTCCTGGACCAACTGGTGGTACTCCCCATGATCCAGCCTCTTTTTTAGGGTCTCATGTTACATGTTACATTTTTGTATATGATCTTAGATTAATTAATTTCAGGTCTACAGTGTTGGTTGGATAAAAATAAACTGTATAAAGAGGTGTTGTATAATGGTGTAACAAAATGTCACACCAACTGTCATAAACCCAACGATTAATCAAACCCTAAAGTTTATTGACAACATGATTACATCACAGACACACAGATGTTTATATATCATCATCATGTGTGACACTGATGCTGCCTGAGGATTACTGAGGCTTAACATGATGCACACACAGACACACACACACAGAGTGGATTACAGGTCTCAGAGGTTAGACTGAGTGTCACTGCAGGTACATGACATCACCATGTAACTCCTACAGTCAACAACAACCAGCAGTTTGTCTGATGGTGAGTGTTCACATTAATGTAGACAGGAGGTTATCTGTAGTTTATTAATCCGTTATCGCTCTGATCTGTATGGTCTTAACAAACAGGAACCTTTAGTTCCTGGTTGACTTCCTGTGATCAGTTCCTCTGGTACAGTTCGTCCTGTGGTATGACTGAGGTTAAACTCTGACTGTGGCCAGACTGTTAGCTCTGATAACAGACACGGTGGCTGTTACAGTGACACCTCACCTGGTTGTGAATCTATAAACTACAGTGTTCACCATGTTTGGTGACAGCAGACAGGATAAAGTATTTCATAAAGTTAAACTGAAAATACAACAAGGACACAGCAGTGATGGTGTCACTACTGCTGGAGACGTGAGTAGTACTAAGAATAGGCTTCATTCAACTACATCTCCCATCATGCCTCAGCTCATCGAGTCCCTCTCTGTGTGAACCCCCAAACTTGAGCCATGCTGGCTGGTTGCCGTCGGTTACCAGAGGAGGGGGGTCTGCCATGTGCCTTCGGAGGCTTTCTGTTGGTTGCCATGGGAACCGGCACCCCCCACCTTCTGTCAATGGCCTTATTTAGAAAAGGAGCCACACACACAGACACACACTCACACTCACTCACTCTCAGCTGTGGTCTGATATCAAAACAGAAATGAGACTTCAGCTTCTGCTTTAAAGCCACAGTTTCAACATGTTGTTCTGTTTTCTCTTTGTTACTGTTTGTTAAAAGTTCTTCTGACTCCGAGAGCTCTGCAAGGTGCAGACCATCAAAACTAAAACGTGTTGCACAGATCTCCGTCTGAAAACAGGCTGAAAAATGGCCGCAGGAAGGCAAGATACAGGACAAAACCTGGCTTGAAACAGACCAAATAAACTGGCTGAAAACAGACCCAAAATGGACAGAAAACACACTGACATAGGACAAAAACTGACTTGAAACGGAGCTAGAAACAAGCCAAGAGCGGCCCCAAAACACAGACTGGAAAAAGGCCCAAAACAGGCACGAAACTGACTGATAACTTTTGAAAAACAGATCTGAACCAAGACAGAAAATGACCCGAAACAGAGCCAAAACAGACGGCAAATAGGCTCAAAACAGACTGGAAACAGAACGAAAACAGGATGAAAACTGTCCTGAAACAGAGCTAAACCAGGCTGGAAACAAGCCTGAGAACAGGCCAGAAATCGCCAAAAAGTGGACTGGACACAGATTGAAAAAGGCCCAAAACAGACAGAAAACAGATCAAAAACTGACCAAAACAGATGATAAACAGGCTCAAAACAGACCGAAAACAGGCTAAAAACTGGCTGACAACTGACCAAAACTGTCCCTAAATAAAGCTAAAGCAAACAGGATGAAAAAACAGGCTGGAAAAAATCTGACTGATAACTGTCTGAAAACAGAACAAAAACTGGCCCAAAACAGAGCTTAACAGGCTGGAAACAAGCTGAGAACAGGCCGAAATCGAGCAAAAAGTGGACTGGACATGGACTGGGAAAAGGCCCAAAACAGGACAAAAATGGTCTGAAAACAGATCTGAAACTGGATGAAAACTAGCCCATGACAGAGCTCAAACATGCTGGAAACAAGCCGAAAAGCAAAAAAAAAAGCAACCAAAAACAGGCTTGACACAGAAAACAGGCCATTATCAGGCAGAAAATAGGCCGAAAAAGAAAACAACCGAGCTGCATTAACACAAAACAGGTGAAACATGAAATACAATCCAGGATGTCCAGTTTGAGAAACACATTTTCAGACACCAAAATGTGGAACAGTTTTATAAAACAACTGTTTAAAGTTTCATTACAGCGACCTCCAGGTAAATAAATCTGTTAAGGTCACAAAGGCATCGACCAGTAATGTCTTGGATGTGTTTAAATGAAGTCAGTGTGAACGCAGTGCTCACATCACGTTTAGTGTCGACACCAAACTCTGTTCACTTTTTATGTTTGTCACTTAAACGATTGAAACAGAGTCGACTTGCTAATTAATCTGTCCAGAAATTTAACTGCCAAATATTTTATACACTGTGTGAACTATTAATTGAGTAAGCCTCAAAAATAAAAGAATAAAACTTCAGCAGCTGTGACAAAATGTTTTGAGACCATCAGTCAATCTATCATCAGTTGATTAATGAATCTGTTAACAGCAAACAATCTGAAGGAGAAGAAATGAGCAAACTGTCGACTCTCAGAAGAAGCTATATTCTGTTAAATCTAAAGCAGATGTGGTCAGTGTGTGTGTGTGTGTGTGTGTGTGTGTGTGTGGTTTCTCTGGTGTCACGCAGGGTTCCTATTCCTGGTGAGACAGGAAGTAAAGCTGCTGACAGGAGGAGCCTCTCATGAACCAAAACCTCCACAGTCTGAACCTCATACAGACACACAGAGGTCCTAATATGGTCGTGTGAGACAGCTGATCATGTGACAGATGATGTCTGACTAGAAGTGACGAACTTCCATAAAAGTCCAAACTCTCTGTTTCCTGCTGCTGACATGAAGCTCTGACATAAAAACACCCTGAGGACAGAATCAATACCACCAATCACTTTAAATCAATCAAAGTGGATCAGATCTGATCAGACAGCTCTGTCAGTCCTCAGGTCTCCACAGTCAGCTGGGTAAATCCTCATGTTCCCTGTCTTTAATGAAGTGGGGTTCCTCAGGGGAACGACATGGGACCTTGGTTCTTTTCATTAAACATCAGAAACATTTAAAGAAACACTTTAATGTTTAAATGAAAGTTCTCTGTCTTCTCCAGAGATCAGTTTCATCTGTGTCCATACAGATGTGTTTAGCCTAGCTTAGCACAAAGAATGGTCGCAGGGGGAAACTGTTAGCTTAGCTTAGCACAAAGACTGTGGACAGAGGGGAAACTGTTGACCTAGTTTAGCAGGAAGATTAGAGGCAGGGGGAAGCTGTTAGCCTAGCTTAGTACAAAGGCTGGAAGCAGAGGGGAAACTGTTAGCCTAGCTTAGCACAAAGACAACAAGCAGGGGGAAACTGTTAGCCTACTTTGGCACAAGGGCTGGAAACAGGGGAAACTGTTAATCCAGCTTAGTGCAAAGACTAGAAGCAGGGGGAAACTGTTAGCCTAGCTTAGTATAGAGGCAGAGAGCAGGGAGAAATGGTTATCCGAGCTTAGCACGAAGTCTGGAAGAAGAGGGGAAACTGTTAGCCTATCTTAGCACAAAGAATGGTCGCAGGGGGAAACTGTTAGCTTAGCACAAAGACTGTGGACAGAGGGGAAACTGTTGACCTAGTTTAGCAGGAAGATTAGAGGTAGGGGGAAGCTGTTAGCCTAGCTTAGTACAAAGGCTGGAAGCAGAGGGGAAACTGTTAGCCTAGCTTAGCACAAAGACAACAAGCAGGGGGAAACTGTTAGCCTACTTTGGCACAAGGGCTGGAAACAGTTTAGTGCAAAGACTAGAAGCAGGTGAAAACTGTTAGGCTAGCTAAGCACAATGGATGGTAGCAGGGGAAACTGTTAGCCTAGCTTCGTACAGAGACTGGAAGCAGGGGGAAACTGTTAGCCTAGCTTGGCAGAAAGACTGGAAACAGAGGGGAAACTGTTAGCCTTGCTTAGCACAAAAAATAGAGGTCAGGGGAACTGTTATCCTGAATGTTTTAACAGGATGTCCAATGTTAAAGGAATGTTCCTTAAATTAATGTTTGACAGGGTGTAACAGATTGTTACCTGTTTTGAGGTTGTTTGCTGATTGAAGTATCTTAAAGAACATTTTCTTGTTAAAAAGGTTCTACATGGTTTGGCCTGGTTAATGACGGTTCTAACAGAACAGTAATGAAGTAAAGGCATTCTGTAATTACTAAAAGTATCTAAAAAAAATTCCTTTGTCAGCGGTTCTGACAGGCTGTTCTGCAGCACATACAGGTTCTGTGGGGATGTCCTGCAACAAATAATGCCTCTGTAAGGATGTCTGCAGCAGGTAAAGGTCTTATGAGGACGTTCTGTCGTAGATAAAGGATCTATGAAGGAGTTCTGCAGCAGACAGAGGTTCTGTGAAGACGTTCTGCCCTGTGTGTGGTGCTGCAGTGAAACCAGAGCTCTCTGTGTGTCTGCAGACTGAAACTTGACTCCTGCAGAACGACGCTGTAGAAAGTGGAGGAGAAACTTTCTGTTTCCACTCAGAACCAAAACAACAACAGAAAAATGAGGAACACGACAAATACGTCACAAAGTACTCACGAGTACTCTCATGTACTTCTGACACAATGAGACTACTGACAATTATTCTCGTTACTGACTGATTTACTGATTGTTTTTAAAATGAACCTGTTTAACACCAGATGTCTTTCTTTGGTTCTCGAGGTGATTCGAACGTTTTGAAGAAACCAGAACCAGTTCATGTTCTCAGTAGAACTCAGTAATGTTCTGTAAATGTCTACATGTAAAATCAGCAGTAAATTAAAAAGCTGCACTGTCTCTTTAAATCTGTTACAGGGACTGAGGTTAATGAGCAAAGATGACATCACAAGGGAGAACCACACCTGCAGACAGACAGTCTCACTCTAACATCTGTCTCCATGACAACGCCGTCTCTCAGCATCACCTCCGACACCTCGTTACCACGGTGATAATTAAAGAGCTTAACGAGGTGACAGCAGTCATAAATCTGTCTCTGCTACTAATCAGTGCCAGTGATGAATCTATGACCACCCCTGACAGTGTCAGGTGTGTATCACCTGTAAGCCCCGCCCCCTCTGACTCACCTCTTTCTCACAGATGAACAGCTGATCTCCCCTCAGAACCACGAACCGGTTCTTCCAGATCTCTCTGAAAATCCCTTTCCCGCAGAACTTTCGGATCCAGCCGACCTTATCGGGCTGAATGTGCTGCGGCGCCGAGTCCTGTGGACCCTGAACAGGAAACAGGAAACAGGAATCTGTCAGAGGGGCGCCATCAGAGCAGGTGAACTACTGAAGCTTCATTCTTGTGACAGACCTCTTTCACTTCTTCTTCCTCTTTAGTGTGTTTTAGCGCATTTAAAATGTATGAAAGTGAAATTTTAGTTTGTAGTTTTCACCAAATTCCATTTAAAAAAGCTGAATTTTATTATTAAAGAGAAAAACAGGAAAATTTTACGTCAGCGTTGATGCTCACACAGAAGAATTAACAAATACACTTTATCAGGTTATTATCCAGTTACTACTTCAAACATTAATTAATAAATATAACAATAAAACTGACAAATTTAATATAAATAATTACTTACTAAAATCCATTTACTACTAAAAATGATTAAATATAAATGTAAAAATAAAGTTAAATTCAATATAATGAATTAAATACTAAGATCCATTTACTACTAAAACCATTAAGTAATAAATATAAATGTAGTAATAAAATCAATAAAATAAATATAAATAAATACTAAGATCCATTTACAACAAAAAATAAATTAATATATAAATGTAACGATAAAATAGAATAAATATAAATAAATAAAAACACTGAGATCAAGTCCCCTAATGCTCTCACATTAAAAATAAATAAATTAAATAAAGTCCTTAAATGTTTATTTGGAGTTTTAATATAAAACTCATGATTAGAATCATTATTTCTGTGTATCTGCACAAACTGAGTTCATAAACTGTACATAAACATTATGTTTGTTTGTAGTTTTTTAATGTTTCTGTCCTTTCAAATAGTTTGTCAGCTGTTTTCGACCTAAAACATGAATCAATAAAGGGGATCAATAAAGTCTGATCATCTTTTATTGAACAACTGTTCACTTATATAACAGTTTTATTTTTTTACATGAAGGTTGTTGAAGGACTAAAGTAGACTTCTCTGATGTGAAGAGAGATTAGAGTTTTCTTTGTGGGTTTGTTTCAGTGTGAAAGTGACGTTCTGTTGACGTTCTGTTGACGTTCTGCTCCAGTCAAACAGATTCCTGCTGTGATTTCTGATGTAAAGCTGTTTTCTGTCCCTGAGGAGAAAAGCTCTGCTGTTGTTCTGAGACGACGTGAAGAAGAAAAGGCTGCAGAGCTTCATTCACTCTTTTCTTTTGTGATTCAGATTCAGTCACATTCTGCAGCCACAGCGTCTCCAGCCACCTGAAGGAACGTCTATACACAGGAAAACTACAAAAACCACACAGCTGTACTTCCTGAGTGTGACACAGGGAGGTAAGAATAACTGAACTGAACTGATCTCTGATCAGATGTTTTCTAAAAACGTTTTCTTAACTTTTTTTCTGTATTTTATTCATCTCACCTTCTTTAAAATCAGGTTACAGCCTGAACTTTATAATAACTATTATACTATTAATAGGATTGAATAATAATTTGACTAATAAACTATATAACTATGCACATGAAAGACAGTAACTGTGGATAAATAACCTGCAGATGAAAATGATATAACTGCATCTTCTACTGAATTACTGTGAGGAGAAGGAGTCTTAGTGGGAGTATTTGGCTCTAAACTAAAGGAGACTGTGTCTATGAGGTTGTGAACATCTTTAATAATCAGATAAGATCTTTTGTTTGGTTTATTTATTTGTTAACTGTATTTTATATATAGTCATAACAGATTAATAGATATAACAGATTATCATTCTTTAGATTTTTCTGAGTTTTATTGTGAAGAACTTTGAGACTCTAGAAAAGTAAAACAAACTTAATTACAAGACTACACTATGTTATTCATATGTTAATTAGTATATTACATTAAATTAAGATTCACATGTGGACTCTTGTCTTGTTGGTTTGTTTCTCTACTCTACTTCGCTACTGCTACAACATTTACATTTCACTTCTCGTCTCATTTTCATATATGAACTGTCTGATTTACTCTAAATAATATTCATACATATATCAGAGCACGTAGACAACATTAGGGACTGTTTGTTATTTATGAGGGGTGCAGAAAAGGGAGGCATGTCAAGTAATTTTTTAAACACTGGGAGGGACTTAAGGTTTTTTTGTTTTGGCTTGTTGGCCTGTCTGGTTGTATTTTGCTTTTATTTTACCACAGATTTTTAAAGAAAACATGCCTTCCAAATATTTTATTGTTGGATTTTCAAATTCCCGACAGACCTTGGAGACATTATGTCTGATGAAGGCCTTCATCAGACAAAAATACGTAACCATAACCGAGTTAAATAGTGATATTTCATCAAAATCACTTTATTCTGCACCTTATTTAAAATTTGACCAAAAAAAATCCCCTGCAAAAACTACCCAGCCTCCACGACAAGAGTAAAAAACCAAGGCCTCTTTCAACTCCACAATTACGCCTTTAACTTTTAACTTTCAAACACCAAAGGGTAAATTTTAAAAATCTGATAACAAGTTTATGATGGAGGGAGGGTCGTACATTGTCCCCAGGGCAATCAGTGAGGCTCCGGGAGAAATATTTGTAGCTTCGGGGAGGGTCAAAATAAAAACAAACAAACAAAAAGTCACAGCCCAGCCACCCCCCTTCATCTGATAAATAGAGAACAGTCCCTAAGGCTACATTATGAGAACAGATCCAGCTCAAATATCCATAAACTGCCTCTAATCAGTCAAACTTATGGATCTGCGTGTGTGTGTGTGTGTGTGTGTGTGTGTGTGTGTGTGTGTGTGTGTGTTTGTTATGTAAGTCCGTTAAACGGCTGTCCGGTGAGTTTAACTCCTCTGTCATTAACGGATGAAACTGGAGCTGCTCACCAGATTCACGTCACGCCGGTGAATTTTGCCTCTTTAACTCTCAGAAATTTTAAAATTTCCACTCAGGATCATAAACACATGTTTTTATCCGTTTTTATTTTAGTTTTTAATATTTTTCATCTTTAAAAATGTGTTAAACTCAACAGCGCTTTTATTCTGAAAACCGGAAAGTAATATTAAGCAGCTAACGGCCGTTTTTGCCTTCAAAATAAAGGTTTAAAACTAATCCTTGAGGCTTTTGTTCCTCGAGCTCCGCTTTAACGTGATAAAAACGGACCTCCGTTAAAGGCAGGTGTCGGTACCGGTAACACTCACCCGTTTCCCGGAGTTGTTCTTCTTCATGCTGGCGGCTGTCAGGCTGCCGGCGGCGGACCAATGTCGGTACTTCACCCACTTTCACGGTAACTCCGTTATTCCCCCACAAAGAGCAGCAGACCGGCGGGAGAAGATAAGAAAAGCGGGTTCAAATCCGTTCAAGTCCGTTCAAGTGGACCGGAGCCTCCGCCTCAGCTCCGCCGCCCCTCAGCTGATGGTCCTCGGTGTGACTCTGCTCGTCGACCTGCTGCGCTGTGCTGCTGCTGTCGGGCTCCGCTGCGCTCTGACCGGCCAGGAGCTGCTCTGTGAGTCGGTGTCCGGTTACTCCTCCTCCCCCTCCTCCTCCTCCTCCTCCGGACTCCCTGCTGGCTCAGCGGCTCCTCGGCAGCCCCGCAGCGCCACCTACAGGCAGAGACCGACCTGAGGCAGGGGTTACATGGGGACGTCTGCTTCTCTTTTACAGGACACATGATGTAAAACATGTGTGTGTATTACCACATATTTAAATACCACTCTGTAAAAATGCTTAACTACAATTACAAGTCCTGCAAAGTGACTACAGGAGTATTGCAATAACATACACTCACTGGCCACTTTATTAGGTACACCTTGCTAGTACCAGGTTGGACCCCCTTTTTCATTCTTGGTGTCAAACATTCCTCAGAGATGTTGGTCCATATTGACATGATGACATCACACAGTTGCTGCAGATTTGTCGGCTGCACATCCATGATGAGAATCTCCCGTTCCACCACATCCCAAAGGTGCTCTATTGGACTGAGATCTGGTGACTGTGGAGGCCATTGGAGTACAGTGAACTCATTGTCATGTTTGAGATGATGTGAGCTTTGTGACATGGTGCGTTATCCTGCTGTAAACCCTAGAGATGGTTGTGCTGAAAATCCCAGTAAATACTCAGACCAGCCAGTCTGGCACCAACAACCATGCCACGTTCAGAGTCACTCAAATCACCTTTCTTCATCATTCTGATGCTCAGTTTGAACTTCAGCAGCTTGTCTTCATCACATCTACATGACTAAATGTTAATGAGCTGCTGCAATTTGATTGACTGAATAGGTATTTGCATTAACAAGCAGTTGAACAGGTGTACCTAATAAAGTGGCAGGTGAGTGTATAATACCACATATATAAATACCACTCTGTAACAATATTTAGCTACAAGTACAAATCCTGCAAAGTGACAACAGCAGTATTATCAGTAGATTATACAGTATCAAAGTTAATTGAGCAGCATATATATAAACTTATATAAACTCATCACTGGTTTTGCAGCTGTCAGATGAACGTAGTGTGGTGAAAGGAACAATATTTACCTCTGAGATGTGGAGTATGTGAAGTATAAAGTGGCAGAAAAATGGAAACAAACCTGTGGTACAGATTCCAGTGCTGAGTTTAATTGTTGTCATTTGACCATAAAATAATGATATTAATAATGTTAAGGGGGGAAAGTGCCATCTATCTGTTTTTAACTATGTGATTATTTATTTATTATGTATTTGTACAGAGACATATGTATATTTGTTGGTATCTATGTTTGTATTAATTGATAAAATACATGGAAACTGAACAATAGGATACAGACCGTGAGGCTTGACGTTGCAGGTCAGTCTGGATCAGCCCGTGATCCTCTGCTCACATCTGGATCAGTGTAATCCGGTTCAGGGCGGTCTGGATGTTGGCAGATGTTTACAGGCTGATCTGATCTGGAGTCAGTTTCACTCTGAGCACAGATCATCAAACTGGGTCAGACAGAGAGACGGAGGCTGATCTGCAGATTATCTACTGACACGCTTCATTAAAGGCACAACACGCACAAAAACACAACAACAACAGCTGATGATGATGATGATGATGATGATGATGATGGTGATGATGAGTCCTGCAGGCCGACTCACAGAGCTGATCCATGGTCAGTTGTTTCATTTCATCGACACGAGTGTGATATAGCATAATAATAAATGTATTTTATTTCATGTAATTTATTATTTCAATACAAAAAGGGACTTAAAAGTAATGTTAAAGGGACAGTTCACCCCAAAATCAAAACTACATATTTTTAGTCTTACCTGTGGTGCTGTTTATCAGTCTAGATTTTTTATCATGAGTTGCAGAGTGTTGGAGATATCGGCAGCGTTGGGCAAGCCACTTGGAAAATATAGTGAGCTAAGCTACCAGTTACTCTACATCAAAATGAAATGTAAGAAAATGTTAAAAGTAACTTCCTACTTGCAAAGCTACTGTATTAAAATGTATGTCAAATCAGTGTTATTTCAACACATTCTCACTCCGACCTTGTCACATATTTACATTTTGGTCATGGACTTTCCACGTCCACATACAACATGCAAGGTAGCCTGGGTGCGCTGGTTGTTGATGTTATGGGACGTTGTGTCAAGTTCTCCTCTTTCAAGATACACTTCTGTTTTCACAGGAAATGTACAGTCTCTTTAAAAATAAGTGCACTGCTTCACAACTGATTTTTCAGTTTTTTTTCTTTCAACAACAAACACACATGGTTGGGTTTAGGCAACAGAAGCACATGGTTAGGTTTAGGAATCTTACAGGACATGAACACCGCTCTTTCAGGTGAAGGTCGGTGGTTGTTGGACCCATTCGCCACCTGAAGTTTCGTCCTTGTCCTGCTGCGTTTCCCCCTGATGCCACCAGGCACCGTTAAACTATAAGGGCATTCAGCCCTGTGTCATGCCGTCGTTAAAGGGCGCCTTTTTTCGTTGGTTTCTGACGCCACAAGCACTGGATTTTGACGACTTTGGAGTGAGACCAGGCTTGATATTTCAGTGATAAGAAAAATGTCAGGCAAACTGTTAATTATAAAATAACAGACTTAAATTAAAACTTCCTTCTGTTTGTGACAGAAGACTTTGTGACATTTGAACATTTCCTCTAATAACATGACATCATCAGTCGGGTTATTGCTCTCTGTCTCGGCCTCTTTCAGTTGGCTCTGTGGCTCTGTCACTATTTTCTATCCAACTACACTCACCAACCCTAACACCACGCAGAAGGATCTCCTTGTCTATTCATCGACAACAGATATAAACTTTAATGGCGTCCTCCTCAGCTGAGCCGGAGCAAGCTCAGTGGTGCCAGGTGAGCTAGCAGTAGATGCACACCTCCTCCTGTGCAGTGATACGGTTGGCAGGTGTAGTTCGATAGAAAGAAAATAGATCCTACAGTACAGGCCAAAAGTTTGGACACACCTTCTTATTCAATGCGTTTTCTTTATTTTCATGACTATTTACATTGTAGATTCTCACTGAAGGCATCAAAACTATGAATGAACACATGTGGAGTTATGTACTTAACAAAAAAAGGTGAAATAACTGAAAACATGTTTTATATTCTAGTTTCTTCAAAATAGCCACCCTTTGCTCTGATTACTGCTTTGCACACTCTTGGCATTCTCTCCATGAGCTTCAAGAGGTAGTCACCTGAAATGGTTTTCCAACAGTCTTGAAGGAGTTCCCAGAGGTGTTTAGCACTTGTTGGCCCCTTTGCCTTCACTCTGCGGTCCAGCTCACCCCAAACCATCTCGATTGGGTTCAGGTCCGGTGACTGTGGAGGCCAGGTCATCTGCCGCAGCACTCCATCACTCTCCTTCTTGGTCAAATAGCCCTTACACAGCCTGGAGGTGTGTTTGGGGTCATTGTCCTGTTGAAAAATAAATGATGGTCCAACTAAACGCAAACCGGATGGGATGGCATGTCGCTGCAGGATGCTGTGGTAGCCATGCTGGTTCAGTGTGCCTTCAATTTTGAATAAATCCCCAACAGTGTCACCAGCAAAACACCCCCACACCATCACACCTCCTCCTCCATGCTTCACAGTGGGAACCAGGCATGTGGAATCCATCCGTTCACCTTTTCTGCGTCTCACAAAGACACGGCGGTTGGAACCAAAGATCTCAAATTTGGACTCATCAGACCAAAGCACAGATTTCCACTGGTCTAATGTCCATTCCTTGTGTTTCTTGGCCCAAACAAATCTCTTCTGCTTGTTGCCTCTCCTTAGCAGTGGTTTCCTAGCAGCTATTTGACCATGAAGGCCTGATTCGCGCAGTCTCCTCTTAACAGTTGTTCTAGAGATGGGTCTGCTGCTAGAACTCTGTGTGGCATTCATCTGGTCTCTGATCTCTCTCTGACTTGCGATTTCTGAGGCTGGTGACTCGGATGAACTTATCCTCAGAAGCAGAGGTGACTCTTGGTCTTCCTTTCCTGGGTCGGTCCTCATGTGTGCCAGTTTCGTTGTAGCGCTTGATGGTTTTTGCGACTCCACTTGGGGACACATTTAAAGTTTTTGCAATTTTCCGGACTGACTGACCTTCATTTCTTAAAGTAATGATGGCCACTTGTTTTTCTTTAGTTAGCTGATTGGTTCTTGCCATAATATGAATTTTAACAGTTGTCCAATAGGGCTGTCGGCTGTGTATTAACCTGACTTCTGCACAACACAACTGATGGTCCCAACCCCATTGATAAAGCAAGAAATTCCACTAATTAACCCTGATAAGGCACACCTGTGAAGTGGAAACCATTTCAGGTGACTACCTCTTGAAGCTCATGGAGAGAATGCCAAGAGTGTGCAAAGCAGTAATCAGAGCAAAGGGTGGCTATTTTGAAGAAACTAGAATATAAAACATGTTTTCAGTTATTTCACCTTTTTTTGTTAAGTACATAACTCCACATGTGTTCATTCATAGTTTTGATGCCTTCAGTGAGAATCTACAATGTAAGTAGTCATGAAAATAAAGAAAACGCATTGAATGAGAAGGTGTGTCCAAACTTTTGGCCTGTACTGTACATGAAACTGCTCACAACAAGGTGTGTGGATTATCTTGAGTAACCAGGTCATGATTTCTGGAAAGAGACATTGCTGTTGAAATTTTTGGCGCTTTGAGCACCACAAGCCGAGTGCCATCTAGCTCTGATATATTAGAGAGAGGGCAGACGTCTCAGCAGCTGTGGCTCAGGAGGATCAGACGATACATGGTTTAATCCCTGGCTCCTCCAGTCTGCATGTCAAAGCATCCTTGGGCAAGATGCTGAACCCCAATTTGTCCCCGATGTGCGTTTGTGTGATATTAAAAACTGATTAGCAAATGGCATCTTGTACAGTAGCCTCAACCATCAGCGTGTGAATGTGACTCAGTTATGTGAAAGTGGTTTGAGTGGTCGACACATTAGAAAGGCAAGTCCGTTAGCCATTTACCATCTATACAGCCAATATCTCCAAAACTCAGCAACTCACACCAAAACAATAAAG